GGGGCTGCATCAAAAAACCTATCAAGAGCACCTCAAGAAGTATTTTCTGCAGGCAGCAAAGGCCATGTCGGCAACCATCTGTGCAGAAGCTGCTGCCATTGTGAAGGACGTGTACAAGGAGCTTGATCCTACCTTCACTGGGAACATTACTGTTGTTTATGATGGGTCGTGGAAGAAGCGAGGGCACTCTTCTCGTATTGGTGTGGGAACTGTTATAGAGTATTACACAGGTCTCGTACTTGACTCTGCCGTTCTTTCAAACTTCTGTCTTGGGTACGAGACTGGCCCCAAGCCTGGTGACGCTACATACCAAGATTGGAAGGAGGAACATGAGTGTCAACAGAACACCACCGTGAAGTCCGGAAGAATGGAGGTAGAAGCCGCACTGCTTCTCTTCCGGAGGTCTCTCAGTCTCCACGAGCTGAGATACACGACGATCGTCTCGGATGGGGATTGCAGAACGCACCAGGCTCTCTGCCAGGACAATGTGTACGGGTTGTTCCCAATCACCAAAGAGGAATGTGTGAACCATGTTGCTAAGCGCATGGGTTCAGCACTCCGGGGGCTTGTGGAAAAGAACAAAACTCAACAACCAATGGGTGGAAAAGGGCGTCTCACACAAGACCTGATCAAGCGCCTGACTAACTATTATTCTTGGGCCTTGAAAAGCAATGCAAGCAAAGTGGAAGACATGCAGCAAGCAATTATGGCTACCTTCCACCACGTCACATCAACCGACGAGGACCCTCAGCATGACCTTTGCCCTTCTGGCAAGGACTCTTGGTGTGCACACCGCAGGGCTGAAGCTGAAGAAAAAGCACCTCCACCGCACAAGTACAAGCTCCCTCCACATGTGACCACGGCTATGTTCCCTGTTTACAGGAGACTGTCCGATCCTGAACTGCTGCAAAGATGCACAGGAGCCAAGACCCAAAACTCGGCAGAATCTCTTCATTCAGTAATCTGGTCGCTCCTCGAAAAAGAAGAACATGCATCGCTGTTCACAGTGGAAACCGGAGTCGCAGACGCTGTTTGCCGCTTCAACACTGGTTGTGCGAGAAGTGCACAGGAACTGTCTGAGGAGCTGGATCTCAAGCGAGGTAAACTTACTATGCAAAGGGCCCAAGAGAAAGACAGACTAAGGCTGAAGAACGCACAAAAAAGAAAGAGATCGCTGCAAACAGGTACCAGGAAGAATGCAGCCAGAGCAGACAGTCGAGACTATTGCCCAGGGGGCTTCTGAGGTGGAAGCGAGAAATGTGGGGCTTGGATCTTCAAATTTTGTTTTCTCGAGACACACTTTTTCACAATTTGGTGTTTGTCAACTTGAACACTGCTCGTCCAATTTTATTGTTTTCTGCGGAGAATTTCTAGGACCTTTCTCCTAATACGAAGCTAGCCTGAATTTGTGGTCAATTGTCTTCTTTTTTTTTTTTTTTTTTTTTTTCAAAAGAAAATTATATATTTTTTACTTTCAATGGCAAAACTTGCACAGAAACAAACTTTTAAAAATATTTTTTAATGTGCCTAAATAACTTCTACTATTCTCTCCTTCTGTAAATATGACTGTTAAACAACCAGAATAAATTTTAAGGCAATATTACACGATTTGACTCTAAACTGTAGACTTTCGTCTTCTTTGTCGTTTTTCTCGACACGCGTTTTTCCACCACCTGGTTCGCTTGTGCATGGGATATCTCGAAAACTATTGATTCGAATTTAGTTCTGTTTACTGTGATTTGTTCCTAAATAAAATGTGCAGGGGGTGAAACTATTAGATAATTAGTTTACGACCTCTAGCTTTTACCATAGTTGTACAAACTTTTGGTGAAATTCGAGAGTACAGTGCTAATATTTCTTTCATGACAAAAATTTTTTTCTATGCACCTGAAAAATATGCCAATAGTTTCACCCCCTGGAGTCATGTCTTGGGGTGGTAGACACCAACATTCATCATGATGCAGAATGTTATTAGATTTGTGGAGCCTGCACAAACCATCAATATGCATATTAACATATTTGACAAACTAATGATCAGAAAGGCTCCAAAATTTCTACAGTTTACCTTCTTAACAAAGCAAGAAAGTGCTGTAAATTTCATTAGCCTAGCTTTAGAACTTTTGAAGTTAGCCTACAAACCCAAGTGCCCCCTTAACAAACTCACTCCGCCGCAATCTCCATTTTATTTTTTCGGACTCCAATAATTTGAAGTTGTTCGATATTTCGGACCTGAAGGCGGAACCGTGACTTAACCCATTGAAATAGTGTATATTCACGACCAATGTTTAGGACAGCTTGAAGTCCAAAAGTTCGATCATTCGGACAAAATCGTCTCGAGCGATCAGTGGAAAACACCATTGAGAAGCGGCCATTTGAATTCTTTGTTGGCTGCCAATGGATTGGCTTGGTTTGGCAGCGCTACTTGGGCTTTCCTGAGTCCTACCTTTAGGTGACGCTATGCTAGACTTTTTTTTCCCCCATTTAGCTGCACGTCATCGTCATCATCATCATTTTGCTTTGTTTTTCGTTTCTTTGCATCGCCAGTCGCCATTTTGCGCTCGTGGTTTTGCGTCTCTTATCTCGTTCGCACAACGCTGGCTTAGACGTCATGGCCCCATCTGTTCTTCTGCCGCCGCGATGTGTCATTAAAGGAGCTGTGCAACGATATTCAATTGAAATGTTTTTCACTTGACACGAGCTTACTAGCACACCTGGGACTCAAGGATACTCGCACGCAACGCCACTGGCCAAGAAACTCCTTTGTTGCGGTGTAATTTCAAGGACAAAAGCGATCATTTTCATTCAATCTCTCCTTCGCAAAATTTGGTGACGTACCGTGGGTATCGCAGTACACCCAAGTGACGATGTTTGAATGCGGTTCATAGATTGGTCCCGAGCATTGCGTGGGCACTCGACTTAGGCTCGTGATAATCGCTACCTCGGGTAGTGACCCGTGTCCAATCGCTGCAACGACGACAACAGCCGAGCCATAACAATGTCTGGAGCTCAGCGCGTGTCCTGCGCTTTGCCAACCCCAGCGCGTGGCTATGATCAACACTGGCGGCATATAATCGGCTTCAGATCACGTGGCCGCTTGTACTAGCTGCGAGTTGAGGGGGTGAACGCTGCTCATTTGTCTTTAATTTTTTTCTGGGACTTCTATTGCGTGGGGTGAAAAACGAACGCGTGTTTCATAAGTCATTAACGTTAGGGATCCGTTTTAAGCGGTATTTGCGCAAAGTACAAAAATTGTTGCATCGCTCCTTTAAGAAGTGCAGAAAGTACTCGACCATAACGCTAGAAAAGAAGGCAGCGATTCTCACGCTAACAGAAAGTTGCCGAACGGAAACGGAGGCGTAACCTGAACAAGGCGCTATTTACAGCTTTTTTGAGCCTGCTTGGAAGTAATAAAGGCAAGTTTTTCAATCTGCTCATTTTTCGGACGTTTTCTCGGTCCCTGCAAAGTCCGAATAATCGGTCGGCGACTGTACCTAAAATGCAGATATATTCTTGTCCAATTGACACCAAAGGCGAGCAGCCTTTGGTGTCTACCACGAGGGAGGTCTTGGATGCCATCGACGTATGTCCGGCTCCCAGGGCAACGACAGTCCTCTAAACGCTTTGGTGTCCTTTGAGCGCTGCGTGCTGCCTTCGCTCACGCGCAAAGGCACAACGCAAGCTTACAGACTTCTTTTCCACTAAATAAATGATGTGGTGAGTTAGCCCACGTGGATTTTTAATTTTCGCTTTCTTTCCACGTGTCCTTCACGAGTTTTTCCGCGAAAAGCGCATGTAACGAAATCCTCCATATAACGAATTATTGCAAACTTTTATCAATTTCGTTATATCCAGGTTTAACTGTACATCGATCATGCAGCTCGCCGATATATGTTGGATGAAGCCGTTCAAGGATGCTCTTCGCCGAGTTTGGGCTTCATTCTTTCGGGAAGGGGCGATGACTCCCAAGGGCAACCCACGCAGGCCATCTGGACAAGACGTCGTCCGCTTCGTCTCTGAAGCGTGGGTTTCAATCTCGGTGGATACCGTGAGGTGTTCATTCAAGTGGTGAGGCATTAGCACGAGTCTGGACGGGTCTGAAGACGGTGAACTCAAAGACCGCCTGGCGTCCGTTGACGATGGAGCCCCGAAGGAAGGCGACAGCCTCGCTGGCGAGGCGCTCGAGCTCATCTTCGATAGTGGGAGCGATGAGTCTTTTGACGGTTTTACTGACATTGACTGGGTAAATAAACCAAGCCTGGCCTTTTGGAGGTGTTTTGCTCTATTTTCATGGTTTTTTCCTACATTGATCGAAAGATCATCCACCCTGCTTTTTACTCCATTATGTATGGCAAAAAGGTGGGCATTCACTCGGAATTTTACGGTATAAAAATTAGTAGGGAACACAAAAAGGAAGGTCAGTATGTCATAAGCGAACCGCTCAGGAGACATTGAAACACAGAGGCTGACACACAGATGCCGAGATCAGACGTCAAGGTACTGTTATACAGCAACTGTAACCGAAAAAAGTAAAAGCCGTTCACAACTCCCTGTAACGCCGAATTGGAGTGCAGCTCTTGAGGAGGAGGAGTGAAGGGTACTGAGGAAAGGGTAGACCCCTCCTCCTCCTCCTCCTCCTCCTCCTCCTTCCCTCATTCTTTAATATGCCCCCGGGGGTCACCTGACCTCAGGGGGAGGGGGTCACATGACCTCGGGGGGGGGGGGCACGTGACCTTGAGGAGGGGGTCATGTGACCTTGGGGGGGGGGGTCATGTGACCTTGGGAGGCGTCACTGACATCGGGGGGTCACATGACCTGGGGGGGTCACTTGACCTTGGTTACGCCGACGGCGACACTGATGCTGCTCAAGTCGAAAACGGGCGCCTAAGAGCTGCGCTCTAAAAAGTGTGAAATCAAGTCCCAGACACAAAAATTTAAAAGGAGATAAGGTAAATCTTTGGCAGACACAACCTAAAAACCCCCACAGGAAAAGAGGCACCCACACTGCTTTCCACCGCAGCTGAAGTTCCCAAGGAGCATGTCGTCGTTGGACTCGACGTATGCCTTGGCCAGGGCGTCCAGCACCGCAGAGTCTGCCTTCCCTCCAGCCTGGGGATAGGCCACGGCAGTGGCCCCCGTCAGGAGGGTCAGTGAGGTGATGAAGGGATACCGGCGAGCCCACCGCTCCAACGCAAGCACCTCCGGGCGCTGGGACGTCTCTGAAGCAACCACCACAGAAACATCCTCATCAGTAAAAAAAAGCCTTTCCACTGAATTTTCTTGGGTCACCATGAGAGGGGGGGAGTGCACTTTCCTGTCCTTTCCATTCGTCCTCGTTCTGCGTGCTCTTTCTACATCACCTGTTTCTGCTCCTCTCTTTGTTGCCCTTTTTACCCCTCTTTGCATGCTTTCTCAAACTACCTACCGTATTCATTCGAATATAAGTCAACCTTTTTTTTTCGGAAATGTTGTCAAAAATTAAGGGTCGACCTATAATCGTGACCAAAAAATTTCGACCTAATTCGCGACCAAAATTTGAAACCCTACCGAGGGTATGGAGCTATCAATCACCTAGCCGGCGTCGCGGTAGAGCCGCGCGGCTTCTTGTTTCAAAAAGCTTTTGATGCACAAAAACAACCGAACAGCAGCAGCCGACAGTCCGCGGCCGCCCACTACGGCTCTCGCGCACATTCCCTCGGCGTCGGGTTTCACCATCACGCCTGTAGCATGTAGCGTTCCCCTCGCTGGGCAAGGGGGTAGGGGAGGGAGAGGAACGCGATGCGCCATGCACTTTGCCCTCCTATGCGCTCCATCAAGCTCCATTCCTCTCCCTCGCCAACGCGCACAAAAAAAAAAAAAAAAAAAAATTGGAGGTATTTTAGTTTATTTTTTTCGGCGGGTCGCGTGTTGCTCACGGGGCTCGCAGCGTTGCTCATGTCTTTGTATTTGGTCTTTCGTCGCTCGCCCGTCTCCACCTTCTTTTGTTTCTTCTTGTCGTCATTTTACAAAGGTGTCAGTGAGGTATTGTTGCCATTTTGTGAGGATGTGTACCAAGCTGACGAAGCTTCGGACGATGATATGTCCGGAAGTTCTGACGATGAATAAGTTTTTGACATCGCCCTGTGATTTAGCTGAGAGTGCTGTAAATAAAGGTTTGTTTCTTTTGCCCTAACTTTCCCCTGTTCCTTAAAAAAAAAAAAAAAAGAAAGGTCGACCTATATTTGAATTATTTTTTTTTTATTCTCGGTGGGCTCAATAAATAGGGGTCGACCTATTTTCGTGGTCGACCTATTTTCGGGTAAATACGGTACTTCTGCTCCTCATGGCGGTAACCAGGGTTCGCCCCTTGTACCGGTTGCCATTTTTCTCAAGATTGTTTAGCAGTTAAGGATTGATCAATTGACACATTTCGTGCTTACATGGCTCCTGAGGTTGGTTGGCCCTATAAAGCTACCACTTTAAAAAGAGTATACCTGACAGTTGCTGTAGTCACTCACAAGATGAAAATAGCAGAGGGGTTTTTCAGCTGTCCCACATCCAGTGCAAACTTTCTATCTTCGATAACAATTTGGCGTCTTACGGGCCTAGAGCATTGCACGCGTAGCCAAAGCACGGCAGAAGGCAACGAGCGCATGCTGGAGGTCGAGCATCCAAAAGAGACACCTTGCCATTGTGTTTCTCACCTCGAAATGCGTGGTAGATGTCCTTTCCCTGGTCGGATAGTGCTTGGGTCGCGTTGCAGTTCATTGCAGGTTCGTTCGCCATGCCGTCGGGGTCAACCACGGGGACAATATGGATTCGCGTGGTGCTCATAATCTGCATTGAAATGTGCTCAAGTCACACACTGGAGGCTTCACCGAGTGCATTCGTGCAGGCAGTTCCGTCGGTCTCACATTTACTCACGAATTTATTGGCTTAAAAAGATTTGACACCTCAGAAAAATAATTGGGCAATGACGTAAATTGGATACTGTTTTTAAGAACGAAAGAGGGGGTCTTAATTAAGAATCTACTGTATTTGTTTTAATTTTCATCATCCATTCATTGAAAGTGGGTCAGGTCAAGGAATAAAAAATGAACATATGTTCATAGTACTTACGCTCAGTCCTGTGTTTTGAGGCAAAAAAAAGTCACATTTTAAATTATTTATGCAAGTACTATACAATTATAGTTTTGTGTGAATATTTGAATTTTCGAATGGTGGTTTTGAATAATACGTTATTCGATGTTCGCTTCGAGATGAGCTGCGATGTTCATAGTTTTCATTCTGTGGATCGCGACAGGTGAGCCCCGTTGAGTGTGCTTATTCTCACCGTGCGCCTGTGCACTGCGGAAAAGCAGTACCCACGGAGCTCGGGGGCTCCCCAGGTATTGTTTTCCCGCAGTGCACAGGCGCCCGGTGAGAAGTGCACTCAACAAGGCTAACTCGCCGCGATTATGCAAAAGTAGATGTTACGCAATGATCTCTTACAAAAAGCAAATAGCTGAACACCAGAGAAACATCAGGGAAAGCCATACCACCTTTCCCAAACTTCACCCCTCACTCAACACTGAACAAGCACACATCCTCTGCAAAATACAGACCAACACTCTCCCCCCCCTGCTAATGCTCTACAACTTCAGGTGGCAGGGGACAGCTCACTGTCCCAACTACCCGGAGATCAGGGCTGACACGGAGCACATCCTCTATGCCTGTAACACTGCGCTCACCTCTCCCTACTTCCCGTACTCATCCCGAGGAGAGGGTCACGTGACCTTGGGGGGTCACGTGACCTTGGGAGGGGTCACTGACCTCGGGGGGTCACGTGACCTGGGGGGGTCGCGTGACTTTGGGGGTCACTTGACCTTGGTTACGCCGACGGCGACGCTGATGCCGCTCAAGCCGGAGCCAAGCATTCCTCCTGGAATGCTTGGCTCAGCCGAACTCGGCGGACCTCCAAAGGGCCCGGCACAGCAAGCGCTCCTTTTCACAAGGTAGTTTCTGGCTTTTAATAAAGTGGTTTTCCCCTTCCTTTACAAGCCGCATTCATCATGCATGCTTTTAACACAGATTGTGTTTTATCATCCGATTTTCATAGAGTTCTGTTACGTTTGGTTGTAACAGCCGGCTTTAACGGCTGGCTGTAGCGGCCGGCAGTAACGAAAGGCAGACGAAAAATGTTACGCCTATGGGGAACCATAAAAAAGACTGCAGTGCCACGGCAGGATTCGAACTCACCACTTTGAGATTGTGAGCCAAGTGCTTTGCCGATTGAACTAATCAGGGTCTGTGGCATGGACCACGCAAAAGCAAGCTCATTCGTGCAACGCATGAATGAGCTTCCATGCTTTGCATTCTTTCTAGTCATGTACCACCATCTCATGGTGTCTGTCAGAATTGAAAGCGAATCTTCAGTAGATGGTGCCAATCACACACCCTTCTCTTCTTCCCTGGAAGGCCTATCGCACATTCTGTACTTAACAGTCTTTGTCAGCATAATCAAGCTTATATAAATTTTTTTGTCAAATTTGGAATTGGAAAAAAACAATTTACATTTAGCAAGCAGATTTATAAATCCCCTTGACTGGAAGTGGACAAGTGAAATTTGGGGAACAACCTTCACGAGTTCAGCTGGGTTTTTGTTTACACATTGTGCACGGTAGTAAAAGGCTTTGAGAAACTATTCGATTCGATAATATTCAGCCAAAACCATTATTCGCTTTGAATTCACTTCAAAACCATTATTCGCTTTGAATTCACTTCAAAACCACTATTCGCAGGTGTCTATAATACAGTACGAAGTCCAAGACTGCCTTAGAAAAGAGTGAAATCTTGCCAAAGATACCATATGGGTATACCCCACTGTGACTCAGACAAAGAGTGTGCTGCCTCCCTTGGTGAGGCGCTGAATACCGCAGATGAGTATTACATGACGTTCGAGGGTTTGCGAGACAAAATTAAATGCCGAAGATTATTTAAAATGTCGCAGGTTTAAAATTACCAATACTACTATATGATTTGAAAATCAAATTGAATACAGAAATATTTGAACCAGCATTCGAGCATTTCGAATATCTGCACGTGTCCGTACACATGTCAAATCGGAGCAACGGATGCGAAGCGTGTGACAGCCCTTTCCAAAGGTACGGAGGCGAGAGCGTAACACAAGCAGTTGGAGAATAAAGAAGAACTCCCCTCCCCCCTCTTCCCCTCATTTGTGTGTCCCAGACGTCACTGAGTTTGAGTGACGGGCGCCCCAGAGGCACGTCACTCAAACTTCGCACAAAAGCGGCTTTTTTTCTCGCACCCACCCGCAACTTTGGCAGCACTGCCCAAACAAGTGAGGTAGGGTATAAGCCACGTGACTCCCTCCGACGCGCCGAATGGCTCGAAGGGGCCGCAGCATTTGCCCTCTGCCGGGTTTACGACTTATCGAAATAAGAAGGCGTGGGGTGGCTCACCTGCGTAACGAGGGTGTTGTGACGGTAGCGGGTGGCCAGGCAGTGGGCCAGGTGCACCAGGAGCTCCGAGGTGGCCGCCTGGGAGCCCTCCAGCCCACCCTGCAGCCGCACCTCGGGCACCCCCTGCCGGTGCACACTGGGGCGCGCCCCGAGTGCCAGGGCGTGCAGCTCCCGACCCCCCGCGCTGCGCCCGAGACTGCCGGGGACAATGATGCCACGGTGAAGAGGCGCACGTGGGAGAGAAAGGAAAAGAGCTCTCCTACGCTCTCCCGCTTAAAGGTTTGACCTCTAAACAGGAAAGCGTCGGGTCACATGCGGTCGAGTGACGATGGCACGTGACGATGGCACGTGACGCGACAGTATCGCTTGACCCGACGACTTTGAGCGACACCCTGACATCAGGCGACGTTTAATGTACTCCGAACAAATTTAAACCATCGCCGCTTAAATACTACTGCACTACACGCATTATGGGACTTTAGAAATCAAAGTCGCTGCCAATTTCTTCCATAGAGGAAATATGATTTCCATCTTTCTGCCTTAGTTTCCCACAAAAGAAAGGGTGGCTGGGTCCCTTAATTTTTAGGTAAGGCATTGTTTCTCTGCTGTCTTCTTTCCATTACAACACTCCCACCCAAATTAACATATAATTACAAAACCGGTTAAAAAAAAAAAAATTAAAGACGTTTACACATCTCTGCAATGCGAAATTAGAGCACAGCTCTTGAGAAGGAGGGGAGGGTATGGAGTGGAGGGTATGCCCCCTTCCTCCTCCGTACTCTTTCCTCCTCTCCCCCTCCTCCTCCAATTCAGTTTCCCCGCTAAATTGAGTGGGGAAAATGATGTCACATGACTCGTTGTCAGGTCGCCTATAAACAAATTCAGTTTCTCCGCTCGATTTAGCAGGAAAATTGACGTCACGTGACCTCAACACCAATTCAATTCGCCGCTAAATTTAGCGGGGAATCGAACTGGTGTTGAGGTCACGTGATGTCCATTTTCCCGCTAAATCTAGAGGAGAAACTGAATTTGTCGGGGAACTGAATTGGTGTTGAGATTACGTGACGTCAATTTTCCTGCTAAATCTAGCGAAGAAACTGAATTTGCCCGCTGAATCCGGCAGAGAAACTGATTTTCCCCGCAAAATTTAGTGGGGAATTTGATTAGTGTTGGAGGTCACGTAGCAGGGAATTGAATTGGTGTTGAGGCCACGTGATGTCAATTTTCACGTTAAAATTAGCGCAATTACGGCGACAGCGACGATGACGGCGAAGCGACTCAAGCAGGAAACGGGCACCTAAAAGCGCTCTAAAAATTGCAGAACCCTTTCACTTCACGTGAAGATGGAGGACCAGCAAAGCTGTTATGTTTTTGACGTCTAGGACGATGCCTAGAGGACGACTTCTTGGACGACTTTTAGGACGACCTCAAGGACGACTTCTAGGACAACCTCGAGGACGACGTCTAGGACGACCTCAAGGACGTCCTCAAAGACGACTTCTAGGACGACCTCGAGGATGACGTCTAGGATGAACTCAAGGATGACTTCTAGGATGACCTCAAGGACAATGCCTAGGAAGACCTCAAGGGTGACTTTTAGGACGACCTCAAGGACGACTTCTAGGACAACCTCAAGGACGACTTCAAGGACGACATCTAGGACGACCTCAAGGACGTCCTCAAAGACGACTTCTAGGACGACCTCGAGGACGACGTCTAGGATGAACTCAAGGGTGACTTCTAGGACGACCTTAAGGACAATGTCTAGGACGACCTCAAGGACGACTTTTAGGACGACTTCTAGGACAACCTCGAGGACGACTTCAAAAACGACGTCTAGGACGACCTCAAGGACGTCCTCAAAGACGACTTCTAGGACGACCTCGAGGACGACGTCTAGGATGAACTCAAGGATGACTTCTAGGATGACCTCAAGGACAATGTCTAGGACGACCTCAAGGACGACGTCTAGGACGACCTAAAGGAAGACTCCTAGGATGACACCTAGAGAAACTCAGCCTTTCTACTCTGGTGAAGATGGAAGACCAGCGAAACTGTACTGGCTCGAGTTTTGTGTCGACACGCCGCTTGTCCGCGGACACGATAGTGGGGAACCAAGACCTTAACAGCTTCGCTGAAAAAAAAAAAAGTTAGTTTCTGAAACACATAGTTTAAACCGAAGATGAACGGATGACAAGAAAGGAACAAACCACACACGTCTCAAATGTGTGTTGGTTCCCATCTTGTCATTCGTTCGTCTTTGATTTAGATTATGTGAAACCTCAACCAGCTCGTCTGTCTGTCTTCTAAAACAACCCCTTTGAAGCCTTAAAAGTCCAAAAAATATCACGAGGTAACACGAGATGGAAGAGCGGGACAGACGAAAGAGCTAGAAATTACACTTTGACAAATTATACTTCATTATACTTATCGGCAGGTGGAGAAGGGACAGTGGCACACCTGTAAAGGTGGGTGGTGTTGGGATGCTTCTTGGCGATGTCCGTGAGCAGCTGCAGGATCTGGAGGTAGCCGTGGTATGCGTGCTTGTAGGTGTCCGGCTCCAGCACCAGTGCCAGGCTGGCCACCCGCCCCTCCGTCACGGTCAGTCGCTCCACCCTCATCTCAAACGAGGGAGCCACCGCTGCACCCGGGCACCACAACAGAAACGGCATTAGAGCGTGGCCGAGGTCTGTTCTCTAGGGTGCCTCATGCCTGCACTGCTCTAAGCCTGTAGGCCAGCTCCGAGATAAGCAACTGCAAAGCACTTTGCAAGCTTGTGAGGGGACCTAACCGCAAGTTTAATTAGAATCTCAACCTGACAACGGAACAATCTTCGCAATTATACTCGGCGTCTACTATTGTCAAAGTTAGCATAGCTTTTACAGTGCTGTTGCCCCGCATCGCTGCGAGAGCACGTGCCTTCATCTTGCATTTTCTCCGCACGCACTCGTGCAACTGAGTTTGACACCGCTGGAGTATACTGGAAGCTATGCTTGCCTTGACAATGTAGCAGAAAATAGTTGACGCTGAGTGTAGTACAGTAGTCAAATTAATTTCCAAACAAAAATGAGGTTAAAAAGATGCACTCTGATATTAGAATTTGCGATGTGCCACAATGACGCCTATTATTTCAAATTCCTGATGTATGGCCAGATAAGTGCAAATGTTGACCAAGTTGATGCAAGTTCTCGCTTTTAAAACAGTTCTGCTAGGCTGTTTCTGTGAGGTCTACAGACAAGCATTTACACAAAGAGGAGAAAAAAAGAAATCTTCTGTAGCAGAATCATGCCCGCTATAATAATGCTTGAGCAGAGCCATGCATCTCTCGCAAAATACTACGACATCCAGCTAGTAGACAAGTTTCCTGTTCTCCGAAGAGCAGTGTGAGCGAGAACGAAGATAAGTAAAACAATTGGATGCAAAGCTTCTAAACAACAGCTGCAGTATTAAGCGAATAATTGCACACTAATCTAAAATGACTTGCATGATGAAACATGAGCCCACTTACTTTCAACACCACCACCAGTGCTGCATGTTTCAAAAGATGGAGCATGTTTTTGTTCGTTTAGAGCAACCCGAAACACCACTCGATTCTAATCATGAAATCTGTCTGAGTCAGGCAATAATTGTGATTTTTCCTGTCTTACAGAGTCGAAGCTACCTAATCGTCCGAACCCGGAAGGTGCGCTCTTAGTCCTCAAATGTTAATGCATGCATTCGGAGGGGAAATCCGTGAAACAAAGAGTTCAGCCATGAGCATGAAATGCCATACATTACACCCTAAAAACTGAATATAGAACACTAGAAATGTGGTACCGGCATCTCTTATGCAACCCTGAAGTTTGCCAGTAACTGTCCTTACAATAAAAACCCTGTCTCCCTCATTTTTACAATGACAGTGTCTTTGAAAGTGATGGCACAGCATGCTGATGTGAGCATGCAGATGTGAACATGAACAGACACCAATTAATGAAACCTGGAATTTATTTCTAAATAAATTAAAATGGCGCCAGCACCAGTAACGGTAACACGGGGAGGAGACTATCGATTTGCAGCTAAAATCCAATGTTTCAAGTGGAGAGCTTGCAGTCCGCAAAAAATGCAGACGTAGACAACTGCAAAAACACAGAAGGGGCATTTTGCTCTAGAGAAACATCCGAGGGCATCCAGAGATGTGCACTTCATGAGAAACGCCAAATTGAAACCAACAGGCAAGGGACACATGACAAAAAGGTTCTGATCATCAAAACGCTCAGGAATGATATAAAGAATGTTCTACATATTTCTCTCACTTGAGGGACACACAGCAGTAACAAGCAGTTCAATTCTTGGAAAGCAAGGTTAAAATGAAATAAGTTAAACAGGATTTACTTGGAACAACTTTATAGACAGCATTAAAATAATATGAACAATAGTACGAGATGACAATTTCACAAAATTGATAATAGCTATAAAGTGATGCACAACTGCTTCACATACTGCTTACCACATTTACTTTAAATATAATATTACATTTTTACAACATCTAAAAAAATCAATACTTGTAGTCTGGTGATTCGTTGCAAAAGTTACCAACGAGCAGCTCTCACAGTCCAAAGATTAACTTGTCCCAAACAAACAATTCAACCAAGAATGAGTGCGCTAGGAGTTGCACATTTTCAACCAATGCCACTGATCACAAGGTGTGAAGGCAAGCACCCAAACACAAAGAGAATTCATAATTGCATATACTAGTCCCATCAAACAAATATTCAACCAACACTTCTCGCAGACGTCACCCACTGGCAACAAAAAACGTGCCAGTAAACAAACAATACCGCTTAAGGGGGGAGGCTGGTCTTTAAATGGTAAAAAGTTGGAGAAAATTCACTTTTGAGAAAACACCTTTTCTCGAATTTAGACATACCCACCCAGCTCTGTGCAAAATATTATTGCTCTATCTAATTTTTAAGTATGAAAGAAAAATATGAAGTCTTAATTTTGTATGAACATTCAGTAGGAATACACACACTTCAAGGGCTTTTTTCTCTCTTCACACTTTTTCCCCCAAGTACCGATGCCTTACACGCGTTTTCTGAAGTTTGTCTTGGACAATATTAACACATTTGGTGCCATTTCAATCGCGAAGAAAGGAGCTGTGCGGTGATGCTATTTTTATAGTCTTCCAGCTTAAGAGTTCTATCCAATTAATTAATTTCTTAAATAATGAGAAAGCATCTCTTTTACACTATAATTGCAATTGTTTTTTAGTGACATAACCCTCTCAGTAAAGATCTAAAATAGCATCACCGCACAAATTACACCTTTGTGAAAACAGTTGCATTAAAAATTTTGATAATCTATGAATACTTTTTCTCTAACGACCCGTAACAAATGACCTAATCAAATTAGGCTAATCTACCATAACTCGGGTTCTAGTAAAGATATTCAATATCTGATTGCATATTTGGAATAGGTGTGAGATGTGTTATACCAGTGTATAATATGATAAGTATTCCTTTATAAATAAAAAAATTACTCTAAAGCCCCACATCACCCCTTAAGGTTGCTCGCGTCGCAATAAAGCTGTCCTCGTCACGTCGGCGAGGAATGTTGGTTGTTTGTTGACATGGTAACGGTTCAGACTAAGCACCCCAAGCAGGCAACGACGACGCGAATAGAGGAGCCTCGCTCACCTGTGAGCACGATTTTGCCCGGCGGCACAGCCAAGCAGAAAGCGCCATTGGTAACGTCAATGGGACGCTTGCTCGCATGCACCCCAATGGTTGCATTGGTGAGTTTGGTGCCATACTCGTCGGTCACGCTGCCAAAGATATCTGCCGACGAAGAGAGACGCGGGTTAGAAGGCGCTCGACATTAAAGAGAACAGTTAATGTTGCTTATTGGTGCTTTGTGCCAGCTGCAACAGACAGCTGCGAGACACTTGGCACTGCAGTGTCTTACTTGTCTTGGCAGCTTCCAAAAACTTCATCAAGGGGTGCAGACTCTTCATCCACAACCCAGGAATCTTGTCTGCGGAAGGGAAGCTGCAGCAATCCACGTCGACGGAGGCCTGCAGAAAGGATTTTGCCGGTCGTTGATTACAATGCGGATTAGCGTGACAGAATCCAGCCCAAACAAAGTATATGGTAGCCCGACAAAATGCTTACTACCAAGCAAAACCTCGATGATACGTATTTCGGGGAACCGTAATAAAAACAATTATGAACCGTAAAAACGTAACCCGGAATAGTACTTTAGAAGAGGCTGTACGTAAAACACAAAGCAATGGACCTTTTCCAGTAAGCGTCTGCGCACGCGCACACCCTTTTTCCTTGACCTTGACCGCCCTTTCGCCATTCTTGGGGGGCACTGCTTTCTTGCGACACTAATCTGTTCCTATGGGAGAAGGCGAGTCCGGTTGCCCTCCATTTGTAGTAGGCGGCAAAACCATCATGAGGCACTCCTTACTGGAAAAAGGTCCATTCTCACCCCACAATTCATTTTCTGCAGGTTTTAGTAACTGTGAAGAACCACTGTTTTTGATTTCTTAAACTTTGGGGCGGACTTCCATTTGCTACCAAAGAATATCAACATTTAAGGGAGAGCAAAATTTCCGAATTCATAGAGCTAATCTAGATGCTCTGTCGGCATCAGTCGCTGCTTCGTACACACCGGTATGAAGCGAAAAGCACGATACATGCAACGCAGCGCAGGTACCACGGCATGGAGGCACACGATTGGCAAGATAACGATGGGATATTATAAAAAATAGAAAACCCTGGCATTTTTTTTTTTCTTTTTTTATCAGAGCAACCGCTGTTTAACAACATAAGCCAAGAATGCACCAATGAGGTTCTCAACATGGAAAATTCATCGCAGTCATAAAGAGAGAGCCTGGAAGGTGAAGAACTGCAAGAAAGCAGAATTTTGGGTAACCAACTCCGTAAGCATGTACCATAAAATATCGGTAAAACGTCGTAGCTTTTCGAAAACGTGCAATGCACACTCCGAGTATCCCCTTCCCCTACGGTGTGGTTTCTTAAACTGGGATCCCAGGGGCTCCCCAGGGTACCCTCGCGGGTTCCTTAAGGTCCCAGATTCCCTCGACCGTCCCCGCACCCGAGTATACTTTTTTACAGTTCATGCCAAGCTATTTTAGCGGATCTTAGCGACCCATCGATGAATACCCGCGAGCCAAACGCTCCCTAGTATGCGCATTATTGTCCACAAGCTCCGTAGGCTTCTGCAGCGTTTTACCGAATCAATGCCAAAACCAGAAGGGGTTTCTCGACTGCTGTTCGGGGCAGATAAGGGTTCCTCGAGATTGTTATAGCCGACTGTGATGGCCAGCTGTGGCGGCTGGCCATAATGGCTGACCGTAATAGCCAGCTGTAACGACACCCAAAGCGTTACGCCCGTAGGGATTCATATAAAAAGTAGGGGTGTGTGAATATTTGAGATTTCGAATATGAATTGAATATGTTTTTATTCGATTTGCATTTAATTTGAGAATCGCATATTCGGAAATTTCTGAATATTCGGTTACTGCCAATATTTGGGCAATGTATGAATATCCGAGCAAATAGCAAATAATTCGCGCATGGGACATGTACCTAAAATTGCGGGTATTGTAGCCTTTTACCTATAAACCAGGGATGGGCGAATATTCGGTTATTACGAATAGTCCATCAAAATTCTGTTCTCTTCGGCATTCGCTTCAAATTGAATTTAAATAGCGTATGTATTGAATATAAGTCAACCTTTTTTTCTTCGGAAATGCTGTCAAAAATTAAGGGTCGAACTATAATCGTGATTAAAGAATTTCGACCTACATTCGCTGCCAAATTTTGCGACCCTACCGAGGGCATGAAGCTATCGAATCACCGAGCCGGCATTCCCGTAGAGCCGCGTCGCTTCTTGTTTCAAAACGTTTTGTTCTTTTCGGCGGCTCACGTGTTGCTCACGGCGACTTGCAGCGTTGCTCACATCTTTGAATTTGGCCTTTCGCTGCTTCGCCCGTCTCCACCTTCTTTCTTCTTGTCGCCATTTTCCACTGGTGTCAGTGAGGTAATGTTACGAATTTGCAAGGATGTCTACCAAGCTGACGAAGCTTCGGACGACGATGACATGTCCGGAAGTTCTGACGATGATTAAGATTTTGGCATCGCCCAGCGATTTAGCCGAGAGTGCTGTAAATTAAGGTTTGTTTCTTTCTTTTGCCCTAACTTTCCCCTGTTCCTAAAAAAAAAGGTCGACCTATATTTGAATTACTTTTTTTTTTTATTCTTGGTGTGTTCAATAAATAGGGGTCGACCTATTTTTGGGTAAATACGATATTCAACAATATCGAATTAGTATTCAACAATATTGAATTATTCTACCTTTTCTAACACTCTGGCTTGGATTTCCGGCCAGATGGCGCAAGCTTTTGACCATTTCGTGCCCCCGAACTCAGTACATTTTAAATGAACAATTACAGTACTTCTAATACCAAAAAGGGGCAAATATAAAACTATAGTTTAAACATATCTTGTGGTATTTGTTGCTTGTACTATTCTAACTATTCAATTCGAAATTATTCAGCCAAAATCCCTATTCGCTTTGAATTTGATTCGGACCCAAAATTCCTTTATTCGCCCATGCCTACTATAAACCGTTACCGTTTGCGTTATTCATAGAATTACCGTGTTTGCACTATTTTAACGTGCCCCCAAATCAAATGTGCAGGCAGACTTAGCTCCCAGATATTCAAAAAGTAAATTGCTGTTGATTCTACTACGCAGGCAAAATAATGCAGCGAATGCATACCTTTTAGAACAGATTTTACGAAACGCATGCTAACACAAACATAAATACCATGCACTAGTCGACGATGGTTCTTCGCTGTTCACAGAGATAATCCTTGCTTTGTTTTAAAGCATTTTAAAAGCCGGGCTTTTTGCGCTCGTACGAGTGTGCGACCATTTCCTCTGGGAGGGTCGTCTTCTAATCAACACTGCGAGCTCGTCGGGTCAGTGGCATTGCGTGATCAAGCAGTGCTGCTTCGTTGTTATCTTTTCCCGCCAGTGTGATGGCCTTTCGTTTGAATAAAGCCTCCTAGTGGAATTTCATTGGTTTGTATATTTTAAAACAACAAACACGAGTTCGTAGATGCGACAGAACATGCGCGATACGAATACCAAAAAATAAACGGCCGCGAGGGCAATGTTGCTAACCACCTTATCCTAAGTACCGTATTTTCCGAAGTATAAGATGCACCCCCCCTTTTCGCAAGTTTCTAACTAAAAATTTGTATATAAGACACACCTGTGTATAAAACGCACTGCTGAAAATTTTGGAAAAAAAAAAATGTCTTATATGTACACCAAAAAATACGATAGTTTTTTGGTTTTGATTATAAAGCTCATGTATTTAAGGGCACCGATTTTGGTAAAAAAAAGTGTGCATTAGAATTGTGCAAACATATGTATTAGCTCATGACAAAAGAGCAGGTTTGGTTTCCGTTTTATGTTACATGGTGCGATAAACACGCGGAAACTTGCTGCAAGTTTACGTGCCATGGAAACCGATATTGCGAGCGCAGCTCACGGACAAAAATGCAAAAAGCTCGCTACGAATTTGCATTCTTGCGAACCAATATTTCTCGAGCAGATCGCGGACAAAAAAATGGGAACCCGCCAAAAACTCGTTTGTCACACCAACCCGTACCCCTAATTCCGTCCGTCGGACGTCGCTTGACGTATGACGGGAATAGAGTGTTGGCCACGTTTTGGAATTTTCATGTTACGAACATCTAGCCAGAAAAACGGGATGAGCCATCTCTCGAGGGAGGACGCCCTTACGGGATTTTACGGTAGTCCCACAAGTTGGGTAGCCCTGAAACATATTTTCTAGGCAAAAGTCATACTAGCCACCAAAGGTTTACCCTAGTCCCGCAGATTTCTTTTCCAGACAAAAGTCGTACTAGTTCACTGTGTGGACCGTGCGAGCACCAGCGCAGCTGAGGCAGCTTCCAAAGCCTCATCCTAGCCTCGTGGCACCACGCGTCCCACTCACCATGAGGGTGCCGTGCCGCGAGTAGGCGTAGTGCAGCAGAGAACCTCCCGGGAGCACTCCCGGCGTGGCGTTGCAGGTGTCCCCGCCCACCTGGGACCTGAAACCCTCCACCAGCCTGTCCAAAGTCAGAGTGTCTAGCAGACCGCTGTTGGAGACGTTGAGGGGAACCCTGCAGGGAACACAGGCGCACGTCTCACCCCATCTCAAAACTAACGCCAGATTTATAAAAAGGAGATTAGGACTTATAGACTGCGAAAGTTTCATTCGGCCGTCGTAAATATGAGAGAAAACGTTTTTTCGTGGCACACGTCCCCTTAAAGACCCCAGGCTGCCGGTACTGGTACACCGGCTAAATAGCATGAACCAGCGTTGACACACCTCGAAGGCACACTGACCTTACGATGTCTACACACCAACCTTACAGTGTCTATACACCCCTAGCGGACGCCACCGGCGCCATGCATGCGCGATGAAGTGTGGGCAAGAAGCTCGCCGTCGCCCATAAACAAACCATTGAAATGCAATGTTGTTGGCGTCGGTGTGAGTCCCCCTGCCCTTTCCGCGTTCGAATTGTTGATTCTACGTCTTCCTGGCCATGCCTGACTACCGTATTTACTCGCGCAATGAACGCACTCGCGCAATGAACGCACCCCCCAAATCGGCTCTCAAAATTTCGAATTTTTTTTTTTCACTCGCGTAATAAACGCACCCCCAACTCGGACGTCAAACTTTTGAACGCTTCCCCCCACGCGCGCGAAATGAACGAACTTTTTTATCCTGGTGGAGCGAGGTCGCGAATGCATAGGCAGCACGGGGGAAAAAAACGCCTAGCAAAAATCTGCAAAGATCCAACCGAAGCAAGAAAAAAAAACATGGAGAGTAGCTTTCTTTTTTTTTTTTCTGCACAGCGCAGTCTGGACTATGGGTTCGCGCGCCGCAGCGCGCAAGGACGTAAGAAAGAGAAGCGCTCTAAGCGAACGAAACAGCTTGCGAAAGGCGGCAAAACGAGAAAAAAAAAAAAAGACAAGGAACTAAGAGAAAACGAACAAAAAGAGGAGCTTTTTCTTTCTTACTTTTTTTTTTGCACAGCGCAATTTGGTTACCGGGGGTCGCACGCTACGCGCAAGGAGGTAAGAAAGAGGAGCGAGGAGCCCTCTAAGCAAACGAAACAGCTTGCGAAAGGCGGCAAAAAGGAAAAAAACAACAACCCACGGAACTGAGAAACAAACAAAAAAAAAAGATGAGCTTTTTTTTTTTTTTTTTTTTTGCACAGTGAAGTTTGGTTACCGGGGGTCGTGCGTCGCGCAAGGAGATAAGAAAGATAAGCGGAGAGCCTTCGCCTAAGCAACGCCTAAACAAACAAAACAGCCTGCGAAAGGCGGAAAAAAAAACCTCAAGGAACTAAAAAAAAAAACAAAGAGGATTTTTTTTTTTTGCACAGCTTAGTTTGGTTATGGGGTCGGGCGCCACGCCCAAAGAGATAAGAAGTTACTTTGATTTTTCAGGATAGAAGGTCCGTTCGTTATGCGAGTAAATACGGACGCAAAAATTTTACTTCGCGTAATGAATGCCCCCCTCAACTTTGCATCGATTTTTCGGAAAAAAAATTGCGTTCATTCTGCGAGTAAATACGGTCCTTGAGCGGCCTCAGCGAAATTACCGAGGCTCGTTACGCTGCAAAACTTTGCGTGAATAATGTGACATGCGGCGATTTATTCCGCATGGACGCTGCAGAATGTATGTTAAAGCCTGATTCGCATGATGAGATTTCGCTCGCAATTTTCAGTCCCGACGTCGCTCGAGCTGCAAAAGCGTGAACCGTAGATGAGATGGTCGACGCTGATACAGAAAATTGCAAGCAGAATCGGGCCGAGTGAATCAGGCATAACAAGTCGGTGATGGCCACTGGTGCCAATGATCAACGTCTCCTTGTATCTACTGTTTACATTGAGCCTGCTTACCAAACTTCAAACTTAAGTATTTTGAGGCCTGCACTTACTTCTTATCACAAGTACCGGGCCAACATTTGGTCTACAGGCCGGAGTCGTCTAAAAAAGCAGACGACAAGCAGAAGCGTTTGAAAGAGCAGACGACAGTTCGAACGATCAGGCGGCCATTAGAACTTGAAGACACACTGAACGTAGTCCGCAGGTGGTCCACACAACTTGACAATTTTCCAGCGTTCATGTTGGAACAAAACAAATAAATCTGATGACCACAAGTATCCGTAAATTCAGCCCAAAGTGCTTCCCGCCTAAGCAATTGTGGTCCGACGGCGTCTGGTTTTCCATTTTCACGGCAGATATCCACGTTCTCGGACGAACCGAGCACATGAAAACTGATCTTTAAACCTTTCTCGACTCTTTTGGTACAGCCCCCGTCGCGGCGTTTAGACGAGAAGGCAGGTTTTTTTCAGGTTCCTATCAAAACAACGCAGGAATACACGTCTCACATGGGGACTTCCACCCACAGCCCCAGACCGAAAGTAGGCCCAACGCGCCACCACCGTTCCGTGACGTAATAAAGATGAGTTTGTGTATAGTCGGTGACTGACAGGCTAAGAGCCTAGTAGAAGATTGGTCGCCGACTACAGACAATAGTTTAACTTGCTTTGTTTCGCTCACCTCACGCCCCGACCCCCCGACTGGAAGAGCAGCCCCGTCGTGTAGCGATAGGAGGACAGGGTCTTCTTCACCGCCTCCACCGCCGCAAACTTGCCGTCGTGCTCCGGTCCAAAGCGGTCTTCGACGTCGGGCAGGTCGGGATCGCCGTGGCCCAACTGGGGCTCGCAGACGCCAGGCAGGGACCGCCGGAAGCCCGCCTCGTCCACCGTGGGCACGATGTGCACCGCCACCGCCTCCAGAAGGCTGCGGATGCTCGTGTCGTTCTTCGCGTAACCTAGAAGCGATGGGTGCACCCGCGCGGACATCAGACGCGGTTGTCGTTAAACGCCCGTTCGTGCGCTCGCGCTCGCTCGGGACCGAGCCCTTGTGACTTCCTCCGACTAGAGAACACGCCGTCATGCTGGCGCCATCTATCAGGTGCACTTGGAACTGCATTTCACGGAAACTGAAAGCGTTCCGCGGCCACCCGATAAAGGGTGCCAGTGCATTTTCTCGTCATACGAGGTTTTAGGGCACACGGTCATGAGCGTGCGAACTGGCCTTACTCGAACGGCCGTGGCGCACGAGACTTTGCAAACGGAAATGCACATACGACAGTCACCGACAGAACGAGAAGGATGGGGCGTGCCTCTCGAATGCCCAGCCTCCAGTTTGCGCTCCGTCCCTCCGGCCGCAGTTTGGCTGCGGCGGGAGGCACGGAGCAACTGAAGCTCCTCCCTACCGCTCTGACCTCGTCGGGGACTATGTAGGGAGTGCTTGGCACACAGTAACGCATCGGACCACAAAATATACAGCTTAAGGGGAGGCGCGAGGAAACAAACTAAAATATTTTGCACAAAAAGATTATATTCAGTTTTATGACATTTTAATATCTGCGAACCTCGGTGTTTTATGCATAAAAATATTAAGTGACAATTACGCTCACGAAGTTAGTGAAATGTGCATTTGAAGACCTCCACGGGACCCAGAACGGCATAGATTTGAGCCATTTTTTCTGTGCGCAATTCTTCGAATTGTGCCGTCGCCCACCATCACATTTATGTTGACAAGTAGCCCAGCCACCTCCTCTCCGTCACAGTTTTCTGTAGCTTCACTTTCATATTTATGAAAAATTTAGGAAAATTTTGTTAGCCCCTTAAAATGGTATTTTTGTGATTTTAATTTAATTTAAAATAAAATAAGTCTCCTACGCATTATTTTTGATGTTCAGAGTACTCAGTGTTTTAAAAGGAGCGATTTAGTTTATATTAATAGGCTTTTAAGTGCATTGTTATGCCCCAAGTGTGTGCAAGAACATGTTCTTTTTTCTGCATGTGCATTGCATCCAGAACAGAAAAAATAAGACATACTGTATCTAACATCATATTCATAAAGAGGAGATCAAGCAGCATAAGCGGTGAATATTTCGTTTAGTTATTGTACATAATAAGAAAAAAAAGTGTTTTACTCTGGCACATGTTTTCTTAAACTGGTCTGCATTGTCAAAGCAAAGAAGCATTGCGTTAATTTCAAAATTTTGCACATTTTCCGGTTGTGCTAGTACAAATAAGTCGTAAAACTGCCAAATAGGAGTAAAATGGCTTATTGAATGCACCCGGGATCGTAGCAATCCACCACACTGCTTACAATCAAAAATTCTTCAAACTCTCCCTTTTGTTTTTTCCCCCACATACAATTATTCTTTTAGTGCTAACTTAGCCTTCCTTGGTAACCCAGCTCGGTCACAGAATCTTTCACGTGGGTTTACCATACCATAAAGAAAACAAAAATATAGTTCCACAAGCTCAAAATTTATAAAAAGTTTTGATTTACATTGAGATATTAAACCAAAATGCCAAATGCTGTATGCTTGGTATTTAGGTATTTGCACAATTCAAGTGAAAAGCACCGCAAGATCTGAAAGGAGAAAGCAGAAGGCATTTTTGACGTGGGGGCAGTGAACAGACTGATCTCACAAAGGGTTCCACACAACATCGGTCCACAGGAGGCAGGTGGCAATGCACCAGAATGCTCATGGAGTTCCGCTTGTGCAGACCCGCAGCATGGTTCTTGCACATGCAGAACGACTAAAGTCTCCGCGATGCGTCACGGCAGAGTAACAATGATCACTGATGTGATCTCTCCATTGCCCTGCCCACCACGGAGAAATGGGGTCGTACCGGTGACGAGATGCCTGGCCAGCCGAGTCAGCATCTCTCTGCCCACAGGACGATCTCCGTCCAGTCCGCCAACCAGGAGGACCTCTGGTTTCATCCGATTGCCCTGGAAAAGGAAGTGTTGCTCAGTTCAAGGAGGCCACTATTTTCAGCATAATTTCTCGAGGCAGCAATGGAGGACAACACAGTACTTACATTATGACCATAACACAATTTCCAAATGCTCAATAAAAAAAAAATGTGGAAACTGCTTGTGGCACCAATTTGACAAAGAAACTGCTGAAAGCACCGTGAGAAAGGTTTGCAATTCCCCTCGGTACAGATCACGCGATTTTTCGTTGCATCTCCGTGACTGCGCTTAAGTGGTAGCAGCGACAGCCAGCAGACATGGTTGTGACTATGAACATAAACCGAAATGATACCTGTGGCAGCGTAAATGCATCATGACAGGTGAAGCTATACACTTATTTGAATACGTAATGCATCCCAACTTATCTCACGTTTTGCAGTGTCACTGAATCCCCTTGTTTTGCGCCGCAACCGTGGCAGGGTTCAACTAAGTTCGTCAAAGCATTGGTGTAGCAGACGACGAAGCTGGTACAAAGGAGAGGAATGAGAAAGGGGCAGCCTCACAAGCTAGCAAACACAATACCCTCTCCCCAATTTCCGTGCGCTTCTCTTGGCTCGTCCGACTCGGCTGCTTGAACATTGTTGGCTTGGTAACCTGCGCCTGCTTGCGTTTGTCACGTGGTAGAGGGAGGAAAGACGATATGAGGGACGTACCAAGAACTCCCATTGTTTGCCGCACGGCTTGCACGGGCTTTGTGGATTGTTGCAAAGCGTCTATTGAGATAAAGTTTAGAAAGGAACGCAAGCACCCACCTTGGCAGTGATGCGGATGAGCTGCAGGGCGGTCTCCCCGGGCGGTCCATAGCTGACCTTGACCTCCAGGATGTCCGAGTGGTTGTCGCGCAGCTGCATCAGCAAGTTGGTCAGTTCGTCCGAGTCCAGGTACTTCGCCTCGCCGTTCTCCCCAATCAGAAAGTCGTGCTCCTTGGACCACCGGGCGTATTCGCGGTTCACCGTGAAGTTGACCCACGTCGGGTGCCCTTCCGACACCGACACTCGTCGCTCGGGTGACGGGAACCTGCAAGGCAGTGCACAGAACTGATGCGGGTGTTGGAAAAAAGAGTGAGGTAGGATGCCATACCAACGAGGCAACATCCCTGACGCACTTTCCTCAGAACGCGCGAGACAGCAGTATAGTACAGTACAGCCCGCTTATAACGAACCGGGAAATAGCGAAATAATGGATATAACAAATGGATTTCAATTTCCCATAACCGTTTGTATACCTGCACTGAAATACGAGCCCGCTTTTAACGAAAAACCACGGGAGGCCCACCACGGATATAGCGAAAAAAAGCTGCAAAAACGTACTAAAATTAAGTGCAAAAAAAGCTATTTAAGGTATAATTCTGGAAAATAACCGCAAAAACAAACAACCGTGTACTGATAACGCAACTAAGGCGACCGCCACGTTTCGTCCGAGCGAGGGAGGAATTCGCGCTCTTCCGTAAGTTGTCTTCTCCGCACTATGCGTCACGTGCACCGTTGTGCACGACGTGCGGGAAATTTCGGGTTTTCGGTCGTTCCCATTTGCTCTGCATTTTTTCTCCTCCGTTTTGACATCTGGCTACGGACCTACACGAAATTCAACGCCTCGTTGCGAAAGTACACGGATTTTACGAAACCCTACCTGACTGAACCTACAGCTCAGGACCGTGACCGACTTCGCCAACGACATAGCGGGCAAGGGACGGAAAGTTCTGCTTCTGCTTGATAACTGTAGTGCGCATCACATCAAACTGCTGCTTAACACTGTGGAAGTCCTCTTCATGTCGCCAAATACACGGCCTAGCTTCAGCCAATGGACCAGGGCGTTACTGCCAACTTCAAGGTCCATTACCGTCGCCGGCTTGTGGAGCGTCTCCTCTGATAAAGCCCTCCCGATGAAGCCCTCGCAAACTCTGACCCTGTCAATGCGGAAGCAGGTAGCGAAAGTGACAAGAGTGGCGACGGCTCTGCGAAGAAGTCGGTGACCGCCGGAACGGCTCTCGCCGCGGCGGAGACTCTCCAAAACTACTTCGCTGGTGCCGAGCGGGTCGGACTTGCACAAAACCTTTTCCTGCACTTCGATGCAATCGAGCAGGCAATCGTGAAACGTCCCTTACGCGGTACGTACAGTCGCAAATTGACGGCTATTTTGGAAAGCATTAAAATCGCGTATTAAAACAACTGATTTCTCGCATTTTTTTTTTCCAAATCCACATATAGCGAAAAATGGATATAGGGAACTGATTTTAGATTCCCGTGGCGTTTGTTATAAGCGGGCTGTACTTTAGTACCTCATATATAGCAAGCTTTCCTGCAGAACATATGGAAACACGAAGCTTGCAAAGGGATATGTAATGAAAGCTTACATAGGTAGTTCCTACAAGTACTTAGGTTTACTGTTCTTCAGGACTAACATATTTTTCTGGAAAAGCGGAACGACACGTGCATTGTAAGAATGTGTGGCACAATTTTAAATGCTTATTGCTATTTTGGGAGAGCATTCTAAGATTAAATTGCCAAAACAAAAACTGATAGTTTTGTGATGAGGCTTGATGATGGCTTGACGAGAAACAAACTAGGGTGTAGTTAAAGGGGGAGTGCAACAATTTCCGGACTTCGGTCAAAGATTTGTGGAAGTTGCCCTCTCACATTTTTGAAGTAAAGAACAGAAAACCGATTTCGCCTGCGTATTTTAGTTGTTGTGTAAAAAAAAAAGATAAATATTGTCATTTCTGGCACCCCTAAACTCATTTTGTCTTCAGGGTCACACCTGGTCGCACTTGTAGTGACGTAATTAGGGGTGCCGTGTAGGTTCCCGTGTGCTCTCTCGGAGGACGCTTCCTCTCCTTCTCACTGCTGACATTAGCAGGCGTTATGCTGCAGCTTAGAACCAAGCGAGGTTACTTAATCTTCTGGCCGTAGTTCCTTCGGCTGCCATTCGTGGCTGCAGGTGGGGGAAAAAGCTCTACTTTTGGTTTGTGATTATGCAGCGGAATCGTGACATTTTTAATGAAGGAGACGTTTTCTCTATCCTCCGGGACACAATAAACAACGCAAAAATGACGAGATGCAAATTCTTTTGTAATCTTAAAATCGTTGCACCCCCCCCCTTTAACCTGAATAAAGGCAGAAATAACTACAGCAGAACACTGTCTCTATATTCTCACTTAAAGAGGCATTGACAACCCGAAGGTCTTTTTTTATTGTTGTTGTCTGAAGCAATGCAAGTTGTTGCACGCTCCTTTTTATTTGTGGCGCCCTTCTCACCCTCTTTTGAACTCCTCGCTTCTTTTTATTTGTGACGTAATCGAATATGAAATTTAGGAACTTTGTAAGCGAAATTTATATCATATTTAATAACGGCATTTGTGAAACATGTTCTTTAACACAATTGCAAACTCACTACGGCCCTTCTTTTTGAAATACCAAAAATCAGAGTCCGGAGTGATGTCGTTTCCTGGCTTTTTATCCTCCCTCAAAATACATGGCGACACTTGACAGGTGTAGCACTGAGGATGATCGGTGAGTCGGGGAATCGGACGAAGTTCTCTTTTTTAGGTGCCCAACGACCTCTGAATACAAAAAGGAAATCGTCAAACAATCAAAATAACTGGGTTTGGTGTCTCTGTACCGTAGTTTCGGTTATGACTCCACCGGATTCGGAGCAGCCTTTCATGCAGAACCGGCGCAATGTGGCCACTCACGTCGCTCACAAAAATTCCACTGCGCATTCTCTTCGACCTCACACCATTTCAAAGAATTTGAGATCGCTGAAAGATCCCCTAAAAAAACTTTAAACTCGAAAGTGAACCGTTGTTTGCTCACAGTGATAGGCGGCATGCAAGCGGTTGATCGCGGGACGCGGGCAAACACGACACTTCGGGTCGGTTTGCAGGCACGAGAGAAACTCGAGTTGCAAGACGACTTAATCTTTGACTCACTGCACTGGCGTGAATCGCGCGGGAACTTCAAATTCGGCTTTGGGAAATGGTATTTTAACTTGACAAATACTGAGTTCCAAAGTTTCTAATTTTGAGGGTAATGTACAGGCATCGTTTTGAATCGTTTCGGATAATAAAAAAAGATATGATTTCGACCTGTCAGTGCTCTTTTGAAGGGCGACTCCGCTTCAGTTTTGTTTTTGCAAAAAATTATGCAGTCCTCTTCTGTATCACCTAGGAAAACCGCACGTCCAATATTACGACCTAATTAGTCTAAATGTTTCTTAAACGGTCGGGTAAACTTTGCAACTCACCAAGTTCCCGAAATCGACTTACTCGAGTGGGAGATTTGAGGCGCAACCAACAGCGCAGTCAAGGCTACGGTGTGGGAGTAGCCAACATTGAGATAAATGTCATCACCATTGCCTCCTTTTGCTTGTTTTTAAATCTCCGGGCAAGCTTAACGGGTGACGTCAGCAACGTTTCCTCTCGGCGCTCAGTGGTGTCCACGTGACTGGCATAACGCACCTGCGCAGCGCGCTTCTTGGGAGCCGTCCCGCCGCCCCACCGTGGTCCCGCCGTTACTCTTGCGCAGCGTGCTTCTCACATCACAACCGCCATCGTCGTCTTACCATTTGTGATTACTGTCTCTCAGAGTTTCGTCCACACTATGGACACCCTGTGTGCAGACTTAGGCCGCAGTTGTACAGAGGTTGTCGAATGTCGTAGATACCAAGACGTGGTCAGGAGTGTGGTGCAGATGACACTTGTGCCTGGCCCACGCCCACCCCAATTCCACCCGTTGTTGCGTAGAGGATCATTGTGACATCTCATACTACGTGGTAGCCATGTTCTTGGCATCCGGAGGCCAATTTCGCCGGACGGAGCTGAAGTTTTGGTTTAGATATCTGCTAGTGTTTAAAATTATACATAAAAATATATACCTTAGTTTTCACAAAGCAAATGACAGTGTCTTTTACTAGGTCTTTTTAATGCGAAATCACTCATTATTCCGAAACCTTCGAAATTTAGCACAGAAAAAAAAATATTTCAGCAAAAAAAAGTTGATTTTGTAAAATGCCATATTTACATCCACCAACATCTAGAGAGTATTTCCCCAAAAGTTTCATTTGTTTACACTGCATAAGTTACTTTTCTATAAATTATTTTTGGTCCACCAATGCTATAGAAAAGGTAGAGGTGTGAGCACTTTGAATGTATTTTTTCTCCAATCCACTTTTTGGCATAAATTTCACTTTAGGAAGACTATCGTTTGGTAATGAAACAAAAAAAAAAAGCTCACTCAATGTCTTTTCTAAGTGGAATTTAATGGGCAATGCAGTTGTGGCATTGTTTTTTTTTTTACTTCGTGGATGTCTTTTATAAAAGATGTAAACATTTTGTCAACAACATAAAAAACAAAAAAATTTACTTCTTGATTCTTTTTTTTTTTAACGATGTTAGCATGAATAAACTTAATTTTTGGAAATTTTGTTTTCACAGTTGCACTCTCTAGGCATTCTGCTGTGTATCTAAAGAAGAAAAATGTTTGGTATTACATTAGTTCTCAAACTATAGTTTTCCTAAACAATGTCAGTCTGTTCCAGATTAGAATGACTGTAACTGTAAAGCCTCTTGGGTTTAACGTGTTCCCGGCTGCTACATTCGCTAACACCAACCCCGCTGAACCGCCATACGAATATGTGCATCAATGTTGCGTCTGTTGGGTTTGCTTTCCCTGCTGCTAGACCCAGAAACTGCCAACCGAAGCAGCCGGCGCTATGCTTTAGGCTGCTCGGCCGTGGCCACCCTCTTCGTTTGCTCCTCCTTTTTTTTATCCTTCCGCTTATATGCACTGCATTTCTTCAACTTCTTGCATTGTTTTTCGAACATGAGCATGACCCTCAACTAAGCAAATGACACCCGCGCAACTCTAAGCACAAGGATGGCAGCATCCACAAGCAGCTCACACGTAAACAGATGTCATGTGATGCACGGACGAATGACCGTCTTAGCAGCATCGGACAATAGGGGAAGGAGTGTCTATACTCAGAGTGACACTTCCTAGTGATTCTAGGTGCAACCAAAGAGCTGCCGGAAATGGTCCAAACACGCACCCGTCAACATAGGTCTGCACAGAATAGCTCCCAGGCACCAGAAGGCGCCAGAAGTCGCCGTCCTTGGCCGAGTGCACGTCGTGGTGGATGCCCAGGACGTGGATGGTGGCATTGGTAACAGGCTTGTCGTGCTCATCCCTCACAAAGCCCTTCACGCCAACGTGCACCTGCAGCAGAGGACGGCAGATGGCATTCTCAGTCAGCAAAGTCGGTGCCTATCACAATTTCATTTTCAGATTCCCAAGAATTTAGTGGGTTACCCCCTTCCTATTTGATAAAATTCTTTAAATAATATGGCGGGAAAAGATTTTAAACACTGAATGATGGCAATAAGAGAAATAAGGTCAAGTAATGGCGTCTTTCGGACTACTAAAAAAATTTTTCATTTAAATTACAGGTCCCCAGTACTTCATGAGACGAGCAACAGCACTCAAGGCGTACTGAAAATCTGTGCGCAACGGTTCTGAACACATGTGTCAGAAAAAAGTGCGCTACAAGGTAACATACTACCTTAGCACATTTCCTTGATCCTCCCTTGTTGACCAAAATGCCCAACAATATGACAATGCGTCTCCCTAAAGCTCAGCAACAATTGCACGTTTTCCTCATTGGTGATGCTGAACAGTCCAATGCTCGTAATGTTACTTGTACTTGAAATCTTGCTGCAGTGGAATTCATCTGTTTTCATGTCGGGGTAAATATTGTAATAATACAACAAAAGACCCCCCCCGTGTAAAAGGGCGCCCCTAGTACCGCGCAGAGGAACTAGGACAGGCCGCAATGTTTAGGTAGCTTTACCACTATACGCTCCGTGCGGGAACTAGAGGGGCGCTTTAAAAACGCGCGCAGCGCCGCTAACGGAGGAGCTGGCGTTCGACAGTGAGGCGCGTTCAGCAGCCTGCGGCGCCTTTTCGCATGCCAAGCTGTGGCGGCGGAAGCGCGCATGGACGAAACTTTTGCTTTTTGAGCCGATACGTTGGGGTGATGTTGCATGAGTGCTGGGGCAGAAGGGCATTTAGCTGTTCTTCACTTCTTATATATTGATTTTGGGTCGTTATTAGGGGTAATTTCTCTAGTTGCAGCCGAAAAAGGAGTTGGAGCAGTTTTCCGAAAAGCAAGACGGCCGCCACCATGTAACTGCTCCGAGTGGAAAATTTATTTCGCTCGTCGCTGTAAACGTAGGACTGCTGGAACGATGATATTTGGAGGCGAGTTAGATGTTCACTAAGTTTGTGCACTAAGTGTGAAAGTTATATTTCTAACGAATAAAGAAATAAAGCTGTACGGGATATCCAATAATGGACCCAAGATGTTGTGTTATAGCGGGCTGTGCAAAATGCAGATTTTGGCACACAGGTGCTGGGACTTGACAGTAACACGACACAGTACTTATTATACCAAAAAGAGGTGGCATAGGGAAATCACGTGGAAATTCGGTTTGGGCGGCGTAACTCAATGGGAACCGGTTTTGACCATGAAAGGGCTGTCAAGAGAATACCCCTGGTCGTGGGAGGTGGAGACTTTACAGGTAGGAAGGGAGTAGTGGACTGTACTTTCAATTAAAGCAACTTTAGGAAAAGTGGTTCCAAAGCCGAGAAAACAAAGTTGTCGGCCAACACACGGTTTGGCCGTGTGTTGGCCGGTCAATTAACTGTTGTGTGATAACCTGTTGTGCGAGGTGCTGATTTTCGGCGCACAGGCACTTTGACATGACCGTAACTTGACACGTAACTTTACCGTAACTTGACAGTTGGCATATCGAAACCAGGTGGAAATTTAGTTTGGGCGGCGTAACTAAATGGGAACTGGTTTTGACCGTCAAAGGCTGTCAGAAAATACCACTCATCGTGGGAGCTGCACACTTTACAGGTAGGAAGGGACCAGTGGACGGTACTTCCAGTTCGAATCACTTTGCGATAGGTGGCTCTAAAGCCGAGAAAAAAAAATGTTGTCTACAGAACTCTGGGTGTCAGCGTTTCCGCATCCAAAAGGAGGCTGATCAAGAAAGAAAGCAGACCACATAAACTTCCATACTCAGACGTCCATTCTCCAGTGATTCCGAGTTTCATTGTTGTTTTCTTTAGATTCATATTTGTCACTTTTTTTTACCGTTCGAGTCTTTCTTCATGAAGTACAGATTGCGTGCCATATTTGTCCGGAAATATCATCGACACGTACGATGGGGACAAAACTTCTTTGGAGGGCATTCCTCCAACGAAATTGGCACTGCATACCCGCGAGTGTGGGACGGCATTTCAGTTCGTCCCATCGGCGCTAACACATGCAGGCGTTACTGGTACGAAAACAAGCGCAGAGCGCAAAGCGGCAGTGTAGAATATGTCAGCCGTGCCGATACAGTAGCAGACATGATCGGGAGACGGAATTTCTCGCGTCGAACGGCACGGGCCCATCGTTGTCGCTGTCCCACAAAACATCGGTGAGGTGAAAAGCTGTGAAACTTTGTCCCCGCCAGACACGACACAAAACTATTGAAGAACTTAATGACGCAGCACAGGCAGCACTTCATGCTGTGAACCCAGCGCAGACGCACCGCTCCGACTTCAATGCGTACCAACATACGCGGCGTAATTTCAGTTTCGTTTTCTCTGGGGTTCTCACTGCCTACCTTCGGTACCGGCCGCGCGGCGGCGCGCCAGTCGCATCGCACGGAGTGTATAGCAAACAACACATGCCACAAAGCTTTTGCTGCCCAGCATTTCATGCTCGCCGATGTGTAGTGTTGGCTGGCCACGCCTGATGGCCAGAACAAGCTAGGTACGCGGGACCAGGAATAGCACATACAGAATCAAGGCACGAGCAAGCAGGTCGGTTCTAGCTGGACTCGAATGGAACAAGGAACCGCGATGCTTATGTACATTAGAGTGATTACATAAAACATGATGTCAGAAGTAGAGGAATTACAAACATTCCCCGCGTACGAGGAGGTAACATTTGCTGCCTACAACACAGCAAATAGTGCAGTGTCATTCCTAGCTTCGACACCGCAAAAGGGGCCAGTATGTTGTGTATTTTTCCTGCACTACAGAAGCTACGAATGACTCACCACCATTCTATTGGAACCGCTGTTCACATGCCCCTAGTTGAAGCACCTAACTTTAAAAGAAAACAAAGAGCTAGAAGTGATAGACATTATGACCTACACGCACCCGTAACATGAGCGTGGCAGGCCGTGACTGAGACATCTGCTCACCTTCTCCATGAGTACGACCAGGGGCACCCTGTGATCCTTCCAGAACTGCTCGAGCTGGCTGGCAGGTGGATACTTGAAGCAGCCCATCTCGATGGTGAGCTCATAGCTGTTGCTGTGCAGGTAATTGTAGTCCTGCATTCCCCCTGAAGATGGGAAAGGAAAACTACCTAAAGCAGCAGCAAGATTCAGTGCAATAATGAGCACCTAAATGACAGCAAGACTGAACCATAGTCGGTTTCAAACCTTTTAGGCAACTGCCCCACACAAACAGCTTAAGTTTCTACATACTTTAAAAGGGGGCACTGAACGAATTTCAGTTAACAAATTTCACGGTTAAGTAAGAAAAAAATAGGAAAGAGCTAGGGTTAGCCAGACCACAAATGCACACCTTTCATGAAAGTTTCTGTTCAGTATGTAGCGATGTCCATTTCCAGCTTATTTTTCAGCATGTTCAAACATTAATTCCACCTGTATACAAGTACTGCATTCATCAGAATCTCCTTCATCTTTTCTTATGACAGGGTTCATGTAAGAAAATTTTAAATTTCACACGAAGAAGCAACTCTGTTTCGTCAATAATCTTGTCACAAATCACATTTTTTTAACCTACCATAAAAATAGTAAAGCGCCAACTATTAACATATTCCAAACTTGGGAATTCTTGGGAAACAAATCAAAATGAACCCAAAAAGAAATATTTCTGCAAAAAAAAAAATTTGATTTTGAAAAATGCTGTAGTATTTAGATCCACCAACATCTAGACTTTCGAGGGTATTATAAAAAAGTTTCACATGTTTACAGTGCATAGTTTTTTCCTTATAAATTATTTTCAGTCCACCAATGTTGAAGAAATGGTTGAGGTTCGAGCACTTTGAATGCGTTTTTCTCCAATCCACTTTTTGGCATAAATCCCACCTTAATAAAACTATCATTTCGGTATAAAACTATCGAGAGACTTAATTTTTTAGGGTTATGTGCCGAAATTTTATGAAGCCGTTTACTATGAACTCAGATTTTGCATTTTCATGACCCTTTATTATAAAAATATTGTAATTTGCAAAGCTTGGTAAAAATAAAAAAATTAATAAAAATATTATCAATTTTTTCTTTTTTTTTTTGAAAATGCATATCTTTTTAAAGTTCTTTTCATAGTAACTGGCTACAGGTATTCCAGTATGCATTCCACCAGAAAAATATGTGGTTATCAACACCATTTCTCAATGATACATTCATTGAGCAAATTCCTTGAAAACCTATGCTTTACTTCATCCTGGGGGTATAGTACCTCATAAAATTAGTTCACAGGGCTGAAACATTGCATGCCAATCTTTCTATACGGCTACAAACAACACATGCAAATATCATACCGATAGAGTGAGCGGTTCAAATGTTAACATTCCCAGGTAGTGCTCCCCCTTAATCCAGTTTTCAGTAAAACTGTGATGGGCGCTCCCCCGGTATGCAGTCCAATCTTGTTAATTCAAACTCGAAAGGGAACGAAAATTTGCTTGAATAAAGCAACGTTCGAATTACCAGGAGTTTCCTGCCATAGAGACTCATAGGATGGGACCTGCATATTAGTTTGAACTATCCGCAAGTTTGAAGTAAGAGAGTTTGAATTAACGAGATTCGACTGTGTTACGGTAGTAGCTCCAGTAAATATGCTTTGGGTGTTTATTAACAATCTTGCTACATCCTTCTTAGCCACTAGAACTGGCAAAAGAACTCTTTACCAAAGCTGCAATTTGGGTGTCAGACATGCTTAAACACTAGTGCACATACAAGAGTCGATTCACAAAAAGTAGGAAGTGAATAATTTTAATAAATTGTGATTGACATGCTAGCTAGTTTTATTTAAGGCTGCCAAACTCTCCAGAATCCTAACTTTTTTTTCTTTCTATCTCTCTCTGGCTGGTTCTAACAAGCTCAGTTAACATTCTTCAACTGCACTGAACACCTTCCAAAGGTCACATTAGAGTGAATTTGATAATATCATATGTAACTTTTAGTGATGGTAACTCATTCGCAGACATGCATCATAAACAACAAAAGAGCAACATCTTATTGCAGAGCTGATGCAACTTGAAGAAGCCAAAGCAGTTACACTCACCGTACACATTGTACCACGCTGCACCGTTGGTGATTCCATCCTTGAATTCATCATCCAGTTCCCCTTTAGGGCATGGCTTTCCCTGAGACATAGATGGATGTGCCTGAAATGCAAATATATTTAGAGACCATGAGGTCACCGAATAGAAATAAATTCAGAATGAGCACTTTAGTGCTGAAAGAAATTGAACTGACCACTCTTCTACATAAGGTCACATCAATAATTCTGAGAATAAGGATATGAAATTAATGACATTACATCTCTTCTACATTGAGGAAAGAGCTCCCCGGTGCCGCTGCTGCTCTTGAGTCTATCATTTCAGATATCAAGAATGCTTTGCGTGAACTGTTCGGACAATGAATTTCTGCTAACATGCGTCTCTTGAGTGCACTTATGAAGGGCAGCAGTTATGCAATGCCGACTTTCCCACGTTGTTCCATCCATGAAAGTGTTTGTGCATGCAATGTACAGAGCATGCAGTGTAAATTGCCCTCTTGTATTCTGCCCTCCTGCCCTGGCCCTCAAAAAGACTGGCAGTATTGCAAGATAAAAATAAAAATATAAATAAAATCGGGCAAACACGCGAGCCCCATTTGTCAAGGCAGCGCTGCCTTCACCTCTGCTGGATGTACTTGTGGGACTCCAGGGACTACACTCCATATCACGTCGAGTTCCACAGTAGCCAATGCTATGACTCGACGGGGCCAATCAAGCACTACCAAAAGTGCATCGTCGCGGCGCTCGTCGTTTATGAGCGTTGGTCGTCCCCGACTAAATCAGTCATGCACAATGATTGCAGCGTGATTCCGCGCTTTTTTCTGCGCGCGATTGGTTTGGCCAGTAATGGCAAACGCGCAAAGACGACCAGCGCCAAGATGACGTACTTTGGGTGCAACTCGACTGGCCACGTCAGACTGTAGCATTGGTTGCGGTCGGACTTTACATAAGACGGGGTATAAATATGTGCAGCTCTCACAATGTTTCAGTACCACACCTAGGACCAACGACAACTGCAACACCACAACTAAAGAGGTCTCCTTGGGAAAGGGAGGGCAGGGTCAAGAAGTTGTGAAGCAAGCATCGTCTCACTTTGGAGTAGGAGAGGGCGAGGTGCCTGAACAGCGCGTCGTCCGGAGTGGCGCTGTAGATGCGCTCCACCTTCTCCTTGTTCCCATCGTACGGGTAGTTGGCCACCAGGGCGCCCCCGTGCAGACTCGCCGAGAGCACCACGGGGCGGGCCAGCACGAAGCGCATCATGGCCGCCGTCTCAGGCTGGGGGTCGCTCGCCCCCTTCTGGTACTGGTCCGGGAAGTCCCGGTTCAGGTCCTTGTCGTGGGCATTGAACCGGCCCAGGGTGCTGCTGCGGTCCCCTGCGGCAACCCGAATGCGAGGGGTTCGACCGACGCACGAGACGCCGACGACTTCGGTGGGCGTGTTCAGCGTCCTATACAGCCCGTGTGCCGAAAGTGGTCCCAGATGGGGCAACCGACAACGTCGCGGAAGCGAAAGCGTCGCGTTGTCGAGTGTTGCAATCCTAGCAGTTGGTCGTAGAAGTCTTGTCGAAAGGCACAAGCGAACACAAGTGGCGCTGTCATCGTCGCGTCCCAACTCTCGACTGCCCGAGCTTCTAAAGACCGTCGAGCTGGAAAGCAACCTGCATCAAAACGGGCGTTTGCTGCATCCGCTTTCGCCGCTGTGCCGCCGCCAAGACTGCAGCGGACAACTGCACGACATTTCTACGATGTCCTCGAGCAGAAATCGAGAAACCACATTTGAGGACGCAGCATACTTACTGCTCGGAGACGCGTTACGGGCATAGTACCGCGGGTTTGAAAGTGTGCCGACGAGGTTCAGCCCAAACAAAAAGGTTGTTGGTCCCTCAGGAACGCGGAATAATCGACCCTCGTGCTTCCAAAACGGCAACTCGCAATGCTGGGCGACTAGTACGGCTCCTCTCCATCGGCAGCTGTGACTTATCTGCCCGGCACTTTCTACTAAAGGTTTAAAAAAAGAAATCCAAAGCTTCCAATGTCGATATCGACATATGTCGATGTACGTTTGATGGAACCTTCGAGGAAAGAAAAGAGCCCGCGGAAATGCCAGGCGTTTTCTCACCAACGTGAGCCCTCTCGTAGCCGTCGGGGTTCATGGAAGGCATGATGAAGATGCGGGTGTTGTTCACCAGGGAAGTGAGCCGCTTGGAGCGCCCGTACTGCTCGCACAGCAGGCGCGCGAGCAGGAGCAGCATCTCCCGTCCAACGACCTCATTGCCGTGGATGTTGCCCACATACTTGAACTCTGGCTCGCCTGGACACGCCGAGAGAAATGATTTGCGGTTGTTGTCTCATCGATCCAAAAGGGAGAGACGTACTTAGAAAATCAATTGCCTAGGGCTTCTTTTTCGGATAATGGTGTAGAAGCCACATGATGCAGTGATGCTAAAGATATGTCAAGGGTGGCGATGATAACACAAATACATATACACAAGCTCTCGATTACAAACAAACTGGAGCACCCCTGGAGGCACACCACCGACGCCGCGCCACATCCCACATCAACTATTTATTGGAATGTCACATTGTCAGCGTCAGTGTGAGTCCCCGTGCTCTTTTTTCCGTTGGAGTTGTTGATTCTACGTCTTCCTAGCAATGTCTTACCACTTCAGTGGCCTGAGCGAAATTAACAAGGCTCGTTACACTGCAAAACTTAGCATAAATAATGTGATGGGCAGTGATCCATTTGCATGAATGCCGCCCTGTTGAGTTAGTTTCTTTCAAAGCACCTGTGCTATGCAGAGAAGCAGGTTGGAACACTCGCAGAAGCGAGGTTTGTGGGTGTTCCTTTTCTGCAGCGCACCGTACTGGGTCAGAAGCATGCCCAACGGGGATAACCCGCCGCAATCAACATTTAGAAAAATATGAACATTGCAGTTCATGTCGATGCAAATACCGAATGGCGTATTATTCGGAACTACCCTATTCGAATATTTGAATATTCGAACAATCTTACATGCTTTAATGACTCGGAAAAAATTAAATAAGCTTCAGGCCAGGTTTGAAAAACTGTTACATATCTTGTTGGCTCGTTGTCAAACCAGACAAATGATCCCTCGCAAGTCAGAGAGTTCCCTATCGCTCGGCACTTAAAAGAGACAAGGACACGAACCTGGCTCATGGACACCAGGATTGTCGCTGATCTCGAGGACATACAGCTCCCGGTGCTCGATGGACTTGCCGATGCTGAAGAGACGGGTGAGGTGCGGGTACTTGTGGGTGAGATTCTCCAGGATCTCCACCAGCTCCTGAAAGCTGTGGTGCTTGAACACCGTCTCGCCCAGCAGCTCGAAGTCTGCGTCCACCGGTACATGCTGTGGGGGATACTGTAAGTCCAGAGATAAAAGAAAATTTAAGCATATCTTGATCACATCTGATAAACTCGGAAACGCACAGAACAGAATGCGAATGAACTAGGCACGTGCTATGTGTACGTACATGATGTCAGGCGATGTCATCACTCTGATGTCACGTGACCTCAGAGTCACATCAACTCATGACATCAAAGGATTTTATGATGTCACGTTACATGACGTCATGTGACATCATGACATCATGGTGTCACATGAAGTCGGGGCAGGACGTGACATCAGGAATGTGACATCTTGTCCCAAGTGTCAGTTGAGCGTGACGTGTCGCTTTTCTTGTGAAGCCCAGCTCCAAGAACACGTTCCGTGTTAGAAAGTTCTTTCAAACGGCAACCGCCAACTCACCTCAGTGCCGGTCTCCACAGGCTCGAGTATCACCTCCACCCAGACGGCTCTCCCCGAGTGGACTTTTATGCCCCGTTTTACAGCCTCCTTGTACCTGCAGGACACAGCATTTCTCGGAAAGATCAGTCGGTAGAGAAACGCACGAGAAAGCCAGTCAAATTTAGAAACCAGCCAAGCTCTGACCAATCTTATATCCTTTCAAACTGAGGTTAGGAGAAATTGTGGTTTTCTTCCTCATTAATGTCAAGCTTTGTGTGATGTTGGATTCTGTTCTTATTTTTTTAAGGTAAATGATAGTTCATTTATCAACCTTGAATGTATGAATAGTATGTAACTAAGAATTTATATTCGGGACTAAATATAGTTATGGGACGTGCTAGTTGCACAATCATGACATGTGAAATAAGGTTGAGCATGTCACGAATGTCTATAAAATTGTATTAGGGGCTATTCTTTACACCAGTGAGGAATTAAAGAAAAGCTGTCAAGGAGAGAAATTGTTTTACACCAATTTTCTGGAGAAGGTGGCCGGGATGAAAATATTAAAGAATAAAAGACAGGAAATAAAGTATTAGTAAAACTGACTGTTGTCTCATCTTCCCGGATTACTAAAATAAGAAAATTGGACATTCCCATTCCAATTACGGCTTATTTTCTCATGACCAGTAGTCAAATCTAGATCTGAACAAGAACTAAGCATTTGTTTTTTGTTCAATACTAATTAATCTCATCGATTAAATTAGCTTTAAAAAAAACACTTTTATGTATTATAAATTTTACTTTGAACTTGACCAAATTTTTGGTTTCGTACCAGCACCATACAAGTTTTTAAATGCTGCACTTTTTTTTTTTTTTTTTTTTTTTTAATAAATGTTTGTTAATAAAAAGAAAGCCACCTTGAGGGCATGAAGTCCAACCCTTACCGCCAAATGCCCGTAGCCTTTGCTGGTCCTCACATAAAAGAGACTAAAGCATGTGGATATATGCAAAAAAACAAGGACGAGAAACTGAGTGGCACACAGGACAGGTCTTGTGTGCCACATATATCCTTGTCCTCATTTTTCTGGCATATTTCCCCATTATGAATCAGAACAACTTGCAGTCATAACACTGTCAAAGATTCTCCAAGCTGCCAAACTTTTTTGGCTGACCCTGACCCCAAGTGAAGTGTTCTTTTAGTTTAAGAACTATTTTAGAAGATTCGAGCCATTTATCGGTCCATTACTATGTGACAGACACTCCCTACTATATACATTGTTTATGAGTACTGTACACTTCCGTACTACTTTAATGCATTAACGTCAAGGCTGAGTGGGGTTCCTTGGCTATCAGTCAAGGCAAGAAAAGGTTCCTCAAGATTAAAATTTCTGAGATCCCCCGAATTAAAGGGGCACTCAGGTGCTTCTTGTAGAAGCTTGTTTTTGAAGACATATTGTTTGTTGGACTTTAGTCAGTAAAAATGACCAGTTCAAGATGCCAACACATAAGAGCAATTATGTTTTCTTTTAGGATGCTTACGGCGCATAGCCTGAGTTATCACCATTAATAGACTATCTCAGAATCCACTTGCGTGTCCCTTTAAGGGATTGAACATTTAAAGAAAGTCAATTTTAATTTTATTTATGGTTTTAAAGACTGCATAGTAAGCTCCAATTAAGCGTGGAAGTGCTACTATGAAAGAAAACACCTTGAGGCACCCTTGGCTGCAAAGCTGCACTGAAGAAAAACAGCTTGAGATTAAGAACTCCCCAAGAAAAAAACATTTACGTACAGCATCATGATGCCAGCTGCAAAGCAACTTTTTGAAAACCATGCAACAAAACATTAAAAAAAAGTTAAGGCTCAGTTTCTAGACAAAGCGTTAAGGGCTTGATCGACACAAAGGAATAACGTAGGGAAGACGCAGCAAAAACCGACAAAGTGGAAAAGAAGGAAGACTGCGATGTCTTAACCAAGCAGGAATATTTCAGATGGAAAGTGGCATTGTCATGCAGCTGGCATTTCTTAAACAAAGGAGTGCTTCATCCTGCCATATTGAACAATCCAAGTTTCCCGGAGAAAGAAAGCTAAAGCAAGGTTTGAAAGATTGTATGAATGGTGCATACTGCAACCCCCATTTGCACTTCATAAAAAAAAAAAAAAAATCTAGCAAAAAATGTTGTGCATTATGCTAGCAGGAAATGTTTTACGAGTATCTTCCAACTAGATCTACAAGTAATTCCCGGCTGGTGGTAGACACTTCAAGTTGAGATGGCAAAGTTCACTGAAGTGTGTGTCATTGGCAATGACTACCTTGAACACCCCCGATTTAATATGGTAAAGGTGGCACTGTTGTTGGCATTTTAAAGAGAGACATGTGCACATGAGCAAACCATGCTTCTGTCTTCTTTGTTTTTCACTGTGTTGTATGGGGTGACTGAAATAACCAGGCTCAATCTAGAACCGGCTGTAAAAATCAGTGCCTGCATGTAGCGATCCAAACTTTTCGTCAAAGGTGTATTTCACAGGCCAGTTTCATCTTATAAAATTACAAAACGTAGCTCCCTTTCTGTAAAAAGTAGGGCCAAACACGTGGTGAATGATGTTGATTGGGGCGAAGCCCTGGTGGTGCTGATGATACTGATTTTGTTCATAGGCAGTGCTGATGGTGCTTATTTTTTTTATAGCTCATAGGTAGTGCCGAGTTCTGGGTTGCGTTTCGACTTCATTATTACTGCTTTATGGTCGGTGAAATGCAGAGCCAGTGGTTCTTCTAGTGGATCAGCTTGGATCCGCTAGAAGCTGTGGACCGCTTAAGTCAACGGTCCATGTCAGAAAGAGAATGTGTGGTATGGAACGTGGTTATATACGCATTTGAGCATTTGACCGCAGCGCCCTCTCGTCTATAAACGTTGAGCGGCTACATGCAACGTTTCATCCATGACAGAAACCCGAGCTCTTGAGTTACTACCCCATCTCAGAGCCCCCTACTCGTCCCGCAGTCGTGGCCGAGTGCTTAAGGCGATAGACTAGAAATCCATTGGGGTCTCCTTGCACAGGTTCGAATCCTGTCGACTGCGCAAACATTTCTTCTTTTTTTAAGAAGACAGATGGGATGGCAATCGATGTGAGCACGGACGCCGGACGGACAAGGCCAGACCCTAAGGAGCTTCGTCCCTAAAAACCTGCCAGGGTCAAGAGTGGACAGCGACGCAGACGACCGAGTCGAGTGGCGGGGCACAGCATGCACTGATAGCTGGTGTCAAGTGCAGCGTCGGAAGGTGCAGCTGACCAGCGAAAGAAAGCAGACGAAATCCGTCGGCAGCAAGAACATTGTTATTATGCATCCGTTTTTTTTTTTTTTTTTTTTTCGAGCACTGCTTTTGGGAATTTGTTTCCGGCTTGAGTGGTGTCACCGTCAGCATAACCGCACGCATTGCATTATGGGAATAATGCAATTGAGCATAACTGCACGTTGCATTATGGAAAAATTTCACAACTCAATTTAGCAGAAAAATTTTTGCAAAATTTCCCCATTAAATTTAGCAGGAAAATTTTTCCCCTAAATTTAGCAAGGAAATCTTTCTTTTACATTTAGTGGGAGAATTTTTAGCTAAGTTTAGTGGTAACAATTCCCCACTAAATTTAGCAGCAAAATTACCCCGCTAAATTTAAAATAAAAATTTCCACACTAAATTTAATGGAAAAAATTCCCCCTAACTTTAGCGAAAAATTTCCCTGCTAAATTGAGCGGAAAAACTTCCCCGCTAAATTTAACGGAAAAAATTTGCCGCTAAGTTTAGCGGAAAAGTTTCCCCGCTAAGTTTAGTGGAAAAATGTCCCTGCTAAATTTAGTGGAAATATTTTCCGGTAAATGGGAGGGGAGCAGGAGAGGAGGAGGCGGTATGGAGGGGGAGGAGCCACCCCTCCTCCTTGTCCTCCAGAGCTGCGCTCTAATTTGGCATTACAAAGAATTGTAAAAGCCTTTCATTTTTTACTTCAAGTTTGTACATAACATAAATGATTGTGTTCATTTTCATAGACCACGGTCGTCGCGAGCCGTCTCGAGGTAGCGCCATCTATCAATACAGGCGCCAAATGTGTCCTGCCACTCGACTCTGTCGTCTGCTTCAGCCGTTGACCCAGGCAAGTATTTTTACCATACCTTTTACAGAAAGGAAGCTACGCTTTGTTATTTTACTAGATGAAACCGACCTGTGAAATACAACTTTGACGAAAAGTTTGGATTGCTACGTGCAGGCACCAATTTTTGACAGCCCAATTTAGATCGAGCCTGGTTAGTTCAGTTTCCCCAGAGCCTTTAGGTTCTGAGTTACCCTATATACGCAAGTTTCATTATTAGTGCGGTATCTTGTCCAATGAGGCGCTAAGCAAGAAAACACAACAGATACACCCTCTGCTTATACTTAGAAGTGATTTTAACACAAGCTGCACGTTGATGATCCTTACCAACTATAGCATTTAAAGGGACACTTACACCCCCCAAACATTTTTTTTTGTGCCAGGCCATTTCGGTGTTAGAAGACTACCCAATTAATATTTTGCTACAGTGTCACATATATTTTTAATAAAGTTATAAAAATGCAACTGCTTGACACCGAAACCAAAAATGAACTGGGGAGGAGTAAAAAACATAGCGTAGAATATTGCGCATCTGCCCATACTACACTAAGCGCCCATACTCAAATTTGTAAGATTTGAGAAAATATGCACAGTACATTGATATGTAAACTTGATGACCGGAAAAGTGCCCATATTTTACAAGCACCCAGTATTTTACGGTGGAGGAGGAGAAAGATAGTAAAAATCAAGCAGCTGTGCAACTTTTTGTTTTTAGAGCGCAGCTCTTAGGGGCCCGTTTCCAGCCTGAGCGGCGTCGGCGTCGGCGTAACCGGAGGGGGGTCACGTGACCCCCCCCCCCCCCCCTCCCCCGAGATCATGTGACCCCCCCGGGGTCACGTGACTACCCGCAGGTGACGTGACCCCCCTCAGTACCCTTCCCTACTCCTCCTCAAGAGCTGCGCTCCAATTCGGCGTTACAGGGATTTGTAAACGGCTTTCACTTTTTTTTTTTCAATTAACGTATTTGCAGTTTTTTAGAAGCCACAAAAATGATATTATATTTTTTGTCCATTTCAAGTACTGAGTGTGAGCCTTCGATGACCCACAACTTTGATTATCTTAGGTGGTTGCGTCTAAATCATATAAAACGGCACTTGACCACGAAGAAGAGAGCAAGCGCCACTTAAAACGGCCAACTCTCGATCGGCAGTTTTCAGACGAAAAGAAAACTAATTTCAAGCTGCAAATTGCGTTCTGGGTAGTTAAGCTCTTGTATGTTATGCACAAATAAAAACTTTGCCGAGTATAAATACCCTGTCAGTGTCCCTTTAAATAACAGACTGCAAACAGTCAAAAATAAATAATTGCATAACCAAGCAATTAGGTATGTGTTTTCATTATTAATTTCACACTCCTGTAATCCCACATGAAAATAAGCTGCAGTTTCCAGCTGGAAATAAAGATTTCCAGCCACATTTTCGGCTAAATTATACAGCAGCAGCTGGAAATCCTGTTTACAGATAGATGGAAATGGATGCTGCTCATGCTGGAAATCAGAAATTCCAGCTTGGAAGTACATGATCCACCTGGAAGTTTCCCAGCTAGGTGAGGAAAAATCGAATTTCCAGCAAGAAATTTGTCCATTTCTGGGTGGAAACAGCCTGGAATTCGGCTGGTAAAATAGATTTCCAGCTCCAGCTGTAGTCCACTTCCGGTTCCATAACACAGCCTGGACTGGAAGCATTTCTATGTGGGATGTTAAATTAATAATGCTCCACAAGAGCCAAAACTGTTTCTAGCATGGTTATCAATGTCGGCGGAAATACATGTCATCACGACGTATAGGAAGGTTTGATAGAAAAGTGCACAGGTGAAAACAACGAACAACATGTTGTTTGCCCTCTGGAACTCTTTTCGTGGGATTCAGTTCACAAACAAACAATGAAACAGACAGGAAATAAAAAATCTGCAGCTGTATTTTGATCTATCTATCAAACCCCTCCAGTGCAGAATTGCCACGTTTTTATGAAGCGTCGTCTCGTTGTCCTTTCCCGTTTCTTCTTTGTTGCGATGACATGGGGAAGGCACAGACTGAGGTCACAAAGACTCGCACGGGGTGAATGATAATATGTCGACACGCAACGCGTGCGAGCATGCTCAGTTAGTTGGCGGCGCAGGTGTGTATGTGTGTGTGGCAGGTGGCCAACTCTGCTGCCCTTCACGTCCATCCGAAGGCACGCTTTCAAACATGCCTTCGGACAATATAAAATCTAGGTTTGCTTTCGTTAGAATGCAATTCTGCATTAGGCGTTGCGACTCGTACACGTCCAAACCATCTGAACTGACGCACAATACACCAAGAGGGTGGCTGCTCTGAATCGCCAAACACGATAGTGCGCGATGGATGCTCGTAATCTAGCTTGCGGCGCATCATCAGCATTACTCAGTTCAGCTCTGCTCAGTTTATGAATCGCTATACGAAGGGGGAAGGAGGCCGAGGGAGGTGAACCGGTTCTCAGGTGACATGAACACTATGTTTGCGCATTCCGCATTGCCATTGGCTGCCCTTCAGTCAGACTGTCAAGCGGTGATTATCTAGCAAGTCAGTCGCATGCAGGAGCGCCGATTCAAGATTCCAGCATGACTGAACCTGTTGGATATGTTTGTCGTTCAGACGGTTCGTACATCGGATCAGATAGTCTCGGCACATGTGTTTCGCGCACTAATGAGGGACACGCACCCTGGACAGGAGACGCGCAAAGAGTATTCCCCGGGCAGCAGGAGCCTCCAGAACTCCCCCCGGTCGGTGGTGGTCAAGTTGTGGTCAATGCCCTCCACCCAGACGGCCGCCTTGTCCACCGGACGCCCGCTGCCAAACTCCTTCACCACCCCCTTGATGCCCATGTGCACCTGCGAACGCATGTGCCGTTTGTTAGCCATCCAAGAGACCCTTTTCAAAAGCGTGCAACACTGGTTGCTGCCTCGATTATCCGAGGCCACCATGCTTTGGACACAAGCGCAAGATACAGTCATTCACTTTGCACAGGGAGCAATCTCCAAAATATGCCAGGCACCAGTGGTGTTTGATGGGCTTTAGAAAAGGTTTTATTTCTCCTAGCTAACGAGCAAAAATATCAAACTCTAATGCAAAATAGCCAGATTGCACTTTCACTGGGAAAAAATAAGAGTAATTGCAACCATGCACAAAAAAAAACATTATGAAGACTTGGCTAACTTTTGGCATACTTTTGCATTAACATTCTGCAAATAATAGTTCACATCAAAGAGGACAGCATTATACTGCTTTCATAATATGCATGCAAACCACAATGTTTTCTTTTTTTTTTCCTTTGTTTTAAAAAAGGTTGGAATGATATGGCACAAATCCAACTGCATACCTGTCAGGTTTGGAGAAACAAAATCCGGGAGAATTTCTAAGCGGGGGGGGTTGCAGTTTTTAAAAATAAATATGGATAACAAATGTACCATGAAGATAACTTCATTACATTTAAATTGCACTGTTGCAATTTTTTTTAAGTTTTAAGTTATTTTTAGAAGATATGTTAGAAGCAGTCCAAAACCGTGCAGCACGGTTTATTCATCGAAATTATACCTTCCCTACTAGTATCACCACTCTTAAAGCTCAACTTGGTCTCCCCTCTCTCAAAACGCGTAGGACTGTATCCGCCTTAACTATTCTTCATAAATTTTACTACCATCTTCCTTTACAGAAAACTTTGTACTGTATACCCGCTCCTCATATCTCCCGTCGCTTAGATAATTCCTGCAAACTATTTTTATCCACTCCCAGGACCAATACCTTTAAATTTTCTCCCCTGCAGCTTTCCGTTACCAATTGGAATAAACTACCAGATTCAATAGTAACCATATCGGACACTTCAAAATTTAGAGAAGCACTTGCCACCTTCTACGGCTCGTAACTGGCATTTTTGCTATCTTTTGTTTGTTTTCCTTGTTTGTACCGTGTACTTAAATCTTAGAAATACTGCCTGCCCCCCTTATGTAAAGCCCCACGTGGGCATTTAAGGGATAAATAAATGAAATGAAATGAAATGAAATACTAGCAAGATACAGTTGGGCCTCGCTATCATTGCATGTGGGGAGGGGGTAATTTGATTTTTCCGGGAGATTTTTCTGTCAATCGTAAACCGTGCAAATTGGTCAAAGTTCGGGAGTCTCCCAGGTAATACAGGAGACTTGGCAGGTATGCAGCTGTACTTTACATAACCTTGGTAGAACATGCTCGGAGCAAATGTAAGGACAAGAGTGTGTTGTGAATAGAAGGTTCTAGGCTAGCCTTCTATAATAAACCAAATAAAGGGCAACTGTTTTTTGCTAGGAATGACTCCAGAACAAAATAGAGCAAAGTACATTTTTCTGTGCCGTGACCTCTTTTACAGCAACAGTTTTACACTAATTCCACTTATGGGGGCTGCAGCTTAAGTCGAGACTGCATTTGGATTTGTTGTATTAAAATAGAAAAGGCACTTAATAAGCCCCTATAATCCATTTCATACTTAGATCACAATGCTGTCAAAGCTACTGAAGAAGCATATGGCTTCGTCTAGCATCTCATTTGCACAAGAGTATGTGCAAATCAAAAGGCAAATCCGGACAAAGGCTGTGCCAGCAGCTTTGGCAGCACTGTACACTAAGTATGAAACAGCTGCAAAGAAAATAAGACTCAGATAGCCTTTAGAATGAAAGCAGCCACTGAGCGAAAAAACATCTAAAACAAGCCTTTTCTTAGGCAGTAGTGCATCAGTCATTATAATTTCTGGAATGCATTTCATATTAAAGGAGCGAACAGCCTCTACACACACTCCCTCTGATTTGTGTAAACAAATGTGAGACATGTCACATGCTTTCTAAATAACTTAAAACATTTTCTTTTTCTAAGTTTCTTACTTTTAAGACTGCACTTAGACAAAGCCAAAACCAATTGGAGTCTCATCATGTTGCAAAAAAGGCATTTTAAGGATTACCATCAATTGTGGAAGAGCCCTCGTTGGTCAAGCTGGCAAGCGCATAACTACCAGTATCAATTGTTCTGCTCAGCGTAAAATCCCGACCTGCTGGTGTGAACTTCAGGAACAAGTGTGTTTCGCACTTGTCGCTCAATGTGTTCTCAGAAGACAAGAAGGATATAAAAAGCATGCATGATTACTGTGAAAAAGACAATGGTATATAAAAAAATGCAATTTCTTTAAAACCTTGATGATGTATGCACATGCATATGCTAATGTGCATTTGGAGGTCCCCGTCCTACAAGCACCAAAGCGCCACAATCTGTTCAACAGAGCGTGCAAGAAGAGTGCGTGTAAGAAGAGTGCGTGCAAGAACTGAATTGGAGCAAAGATTGTCGTTTAGTTCCTCTTTCGAAAGACTGCTTGCGATGCGTGCCGATGAAAACAAGGATAAGAAATTTGTCAAGTTCACCGAGAAAACTTCCATAAAAATCTGCATGCTTCCTGCCCTGCTTGGTTGCCTCAAAATGATGGAGCAGTTTTCTGAAACTGCGCAAATCAAACATTACACCGGCAAACTTATTGTCTAAATCAAGGTGTAAAGGGCAACTGAAAATGTAAACTAGCTATCTTTGAAAAAACCAGTTCCAACAATAATTTTGTGAAGTACCTTTTAGATTGTAAAAGCTTGGTCTGCTGGGCAAGTTGGTAGTGGACATTCATATTAAAAATAGCGCAAAAGAGACGGGACAAAAAGACGAAGAAGCACACGTTTGTCCTGTGTGCTTCTTCGTCTTTTTGTCCCGTCTCTTTTGCGCTATTTTTAATATGAATACCTTTTAGATCAACTCCCATTTTGGCTGAACACCTTCATTCAGTTGGAAGCAAGTATGGCATCCTCTCAACTCCAAACATCCTTTAGCAACATTTTGTATTGTTCGTTGTTTACCCTTTATGAGTGTGCTGCACGAGCCTCCCAGGACACAGACTTTCTCGGGTTCAATATGCAGGCATCTACAGAGGTAACTAGATTAAAGACGACTAACAGGCCTTGGAAGTCATGTTCCCCCTTACATATAACTTATAACTTTCTGCATCTAAGAGCCCCAAAAACTAGTTACGACATTCAGCCCCATAATGTGGTGTCAATGAAATTAACATAGCTGCGCATTAACGCGAGTATACACTGCACAAAACCTGCACCTGTCCCTCCTTTTCGGAAAGACTTTGTTTCACCTTTGATTATATGTAGGTGCAACGCATTCCCCAACGGCCGGTAATACCTATTTCACGACTTTAGCTCGCCCAACCCAACATCCTCAAAACAATAACTGATAATTAATGGGGACAAGAATGTTTTGTCTCTTCCTCACACCTGCAAGTGCTGAAAAAAAAAAAAAAAATCCCATTAGCGAATTTTTCTTAGGTTGTGCGTCATTGCCTTCACGTTTATAAATGCAGGACCTGCCTGAAAAAAAAGAAAAAAAAAAAAGAAAAAAAAATGCTAGGAGCAGCCAAACCAGTTTGCTTTGTCAGGAGTGACCAGTTGGACAGCCTTTCTTTTGGGGGGGGGCCAGCTCTGGCCCCTTTGAATGGGCGGGCGGTGGGTAAGCACCTTTTGACAGACTGCTTTTTTATCCAGTTTACTCTAGCCATTGTTGTTGTTGTTTATGCTCTGGCCACCCTCTCTGCATCTAGGTCAAATGCCTGCCCTCCCTCCCTTCCAATCTCCTTCTCTAATTGCCTCGGAACCAGCACAGGAAAAACCTGCCTCGCAAGGAAGGGGGAAGAAAGAGCTATTGGAAAGAAATGAGGTGACCAGAAGAGGAAAAGAAAGAGAACTGGACTGGACACTTGGGTTTCACTAGAGAAGCTTTAGGTTTCACCAGCCAGGATGTCTGCCTGACACTTTCTCGGTGGGTATCACAACCAAGGGAATACCTATTGATCTTAGTGGCATTAAAAAGGCTTTCAAAATTAACTGTGCCTGATGTAGCTCAACGTTTAAGTATTCTGCAACACAATGTACTACTTTCTGCCTCCCTTTGAGCACATTTACAGTGCTGTTTATTTCAAGTATTTTTTCGTGTTACCTAAAGTCCTATAAAAGACAGTATTACAAAAATCTTCCATTTAAAAAAAAAGTGTACTACTATATTTTTATTTTTTTAGGAAGGGATAAGAACATATAGATTTCTGCACTAATGAAGGTTTGAGCATGTACCATTTTCTCGCTCCTTTTGTTCTTTGTTTTTCAGCCTTGCATATAAAATTCTCCACATGCGATGCAAAACTTTGGCTCTGCGAGCCGACATGACAATGCTGACTGCTGCACATGCACCGTTTTGAAAGAATTCCTAAGTGCACTCCAGCAACCTGAGTGCATCAGTTGTAAAGCTGCTTGAAAAATATTTCCTCACCTGTTCCATGAAGGTGAGCAGGGCATTCTTGTTCATGTTCCACTCCTTGACAAGCTCACTGGCTTGAGGGTATTTGCAGCATGACAGTTCAAGGGTGATTTCATAGCAGTTGGTGAACACATAGTTGAAATCTTGCATGGTTCCTACAGAACAAAGATGGACCATTTCTGTCAAGCCCTGGAAGACTCCATGTGAAGCTTCTAATCACACACAGGCTGGCATCTGCGACAATAAAAATTTCTAAGGAAAAAATCTAAAATAAACAGCCCTTTGCACATTCACTTGCCAATGACTTGTTTTAGTCACCTACTTCTAATCTTTTTCCACATAATGCGAGCACATTCGGCATGTATACCTACGTTACAAACATTTTTTTGATGCTTGGATAATTTGGCAAAAGGTATGTTACTAGGAGAAATGTATTTTTCTCTAATAGTCGCTCTGCAACTATCTTCTAACTCTATAACCTGTTGTAGGCATTTTCCACATTACAAGGGTTCAATATATTGAATTTCAATAACTAAGCAAAATTCGGAGGGATTTTAACCGACAAACAAACTGCCCATGCTACATTATGCCTCCAATGCAAAAGTTGTGATAGTCATAATTACTAAACCAGCAGATCTTCAAGAGCTACTATTCTAAGGAAGTGTAACATGTTGCCGTCAATGAATGAAACCCCATTTATCCCCAGTGCTACTTCACTCACTAAAAATGGCATTCCATTAAATTAATGGCTAATTAAGACAACTTGATAGAAACCAAACAAAGGTTTTCTTTTTCTGGAGTCACATATTAAATTGAGCACTTCCTAACGGGAAAGGGTCTTCTTATCAAGGAATCTCCAATGCCATCAATCTGTTACGTAAACATTAAGATTGCATTTTAGTGATTCTTTGTTCTTGCTCCATCTTTGCGATGCCTCTTTGAAGCAGCCACTCCAAGTATAGCAAGGTGGAACAGGCGACCTTTAGATAGCCCTCATCGCTGCACAGCTGTTCAAGTTCACATAAACTCATACGTAGGTCCGTCGTAAAGACACGAATGTATAGAAAAATCACCTAAAAAAGCCACAACACCCACACAAATAAAATAATTTCAAATGAACCTTTTTTTTTTTTTTCTTCTTTTTTTTTATCAAACAGTAGCAGGTGTTTGCTCTCATGTCGCCCATTGCTCTGCCTTGTGAAACTCCACAAGAGACGTCAGTCCAGGTTTTCCCCACCCTCTCGCCTCGAACACTGAATGAAAGATAGCACGATGATCGACATGGGTCTGGGGTGAAGAAAAAAAAAAAAAAAAAGAAAAAAGAAAGAACTTGCGCAGTAGTAATAAAGACCGGGGAAAACCCCATATATATCTCCCCCGAAACCCAGCCGACATCTGGATCCCGTCGTAACACGCTGATCACGATCCTATCCCAAGATCTTTAAACAGCTCAAACGATCGGAGTAGGGGCAGCAGCACAGCAAACGAGCGAGCAGCAGCCTCGATCGGTGGGGGGTGCTCAGGCCGCTCATGCCCATTTCCGTCGTTTTTCTCAAGGGCTTCCTCCCGCCCACTCTCGCGCTCTCTCCGGGGATCGGACCGCGACGGGCCCACGCCGGTCGATAAAGACGAAACGCCAGCCGCCTTATTTCACGTGGAGCGGAAACACTTCGCGGACCGCTCAATTCACACTCGTTGCCGAACGGATACGCTGCTTTGGCTCGCTTGTTTTTTTATCGATGAAAAGATTAATTCGACTCAACGGATAGTCGACTAGGAAAAAGAGCTGCTCAACGAGGACAGAGCAAGGAGAGTCGAATTTTTTTATCCATAGACTTATGCTGGTGCGATGGTAGAGAGCTTTCCAAACGTTCACCAACTCGCCCAACAACAAACTATTTTACTCCAAACAGGTCCGACGTTGTCGACTCAAACCGACAAAACACCATACATCATTTCAACGAGGATAAGGCACGGAAGCTCGGTTGTTTTGGGAAGTCAGATTAGTGCAGGAGAAGAGAGCAAGCGTCTGCAAACTCTCCCTGACAGAATAGAGGAGGCAGGTAGTCGTAGCACCGTTTACGTGCCAGAAGGGAGTCGGTGTCGACATACTCCCGATGTGCCGCGCCCTCGTGTAAACGCAGTCACGGAACGAGGACCTCACCTGATTCGGGCATCCAGCTGGCACCGTTCACCACGCCGTCCGTAAAGTCCTCGTCGCACTGAGGGCTCTTGAACATGGTCAGGTGCGTCGTTGAGTAAGTCCGTGCCAGGTGCCGAAAGAGATCGTTGTCGGGCGTCGGATTCTCCGTGCGCGAAAGGTCCGACGACTCCGTACCGCTGTCCACGGCGAACGGTCCGCCCGGTCGACCGTCGTACGGGTAGCCCGCCACCAGCAGGCCTCCGTGAAGGCTTGCCGACAGCACAAACGGCTCCTTGACCATCCAAGTCATCGCGGCCAGTGTCTCGGGCTCGCGGCCCGCCGTCAACGCGCGCAGGTCGGCGTCTTTGTACTGGTCTGGGAAGTTGGCGTTGATGTCGACGTAGTGGCGGTTGAAGCGACCCGTGTGGAGTCCCGAGCCGCTGCAGTCTCCCTCAGTAGAGTTGGCGAAGCCGTCCGGATTCAGCGACGGGCAGAGGTGCAGCTCGGTGGTGTTGATGAGGCGAGTGACCCGGGGATCGGTGCCGTAGTTCTCGAGGAGGTACTCCATGAGGAACAGGAGCAACTGGCGACCGAGGGCCTCGTTGCCGTGTACGTTCGCCGTATATCTAAACACGGGCTTGCCTATCGTTCGTGTATGCGGCGTGTCCGTGCTGATTTTGAGCACCTGTAGCTCGCGGTTCTCGACGCTCCTGCCGATGCTGTAAACGGTGGCAAGCGACGAATGCTTACGGGCGAGTTCTTGCATAAACTCGATTGTGGCGTTATGGTCCAGGTATTTGGGGACGGGGAACGACCCATCGTCTTTGTCCGCGGCACACACTACACTGAAAAAGACGAGAGCGATCACGAGTGGACACATCACAACACACCGAGGACGGCGACCATACACGTCAAACGCACCACTCGGCGCCATGTTGTCATCAGTCTTAGCTTCACAGTGTTGACGAGTGAAATAACAAGTAAGGCGGTGGTTGTCCATTTGGCCCGCTAATACCGCTTGTTTATTTAATAAAAAAACTAAATATAATTTTAAATATATAAATAAGCTGCTTTATTAATTTTATAATATTTGTATTCTTGTGATTTACGTGAAACTGTAAAAAAACTTCAAGATACCCATTTGTTTATAGCGCCACTAGTTTATTTGTTACGTTTGTTAAGTGAAGAACAGTCCTTAGGTTGTGTTCGTATGTGCATTTGACGTCAATAGCTTGTTGAATAAATCCAGAGGACTTCTTCTTTATATGTGCCTCACGCTACGTACGTGACGTTTGTCTTTTCAGAACTGACATGTAAAATTTTGAAACGGGAATACTTGAACGCATTTTCCGCCAGCGACGCAAGTCAACGGAGCGAGCGAGTCTGATCTGATGGGCATGAAATCGTATTTTTGTGCGTGAATTTCGCAGTTTCCAGACCCGAATGTGCAGAGAACATGGGCATGTAGGCGCATCGTAATCAAAACGCCTCAGCTTCGTCGAATCGCACGGTGAATATCTAAGCTTGTTGTCATTCCCTTACGTAGCGGAAACTTTTGTACGCTGGCTCGACAGATCATACGGACCATAGAAATATTTCTTGAAGGTTCATTTTTTAAATTTTTTTATTGGAAATGTAGAAGAGTTGCAGCGTTCGCTGCACTGATGTTTGTGCTTGGTGTGCTGCAGCGTAAGACGCTGCAACCCCGAAACGCAGCTGGTTATATCCCATGATACTGCAGCTGACATTTGCAAAGATCACTTTTGCTTATGCCTTTGTGGCCGTTATCTCTTAGGGAGCTCGCGCTGGTTGTGGTACAACTACCATTCTCATAGTGTCAGTGACTATATATATTTGTCATCAATCGTGTGTAACTTGTAACTCATCAGTGGTATGTCTTTTTGTCAAAAGGTCACTGTCACTACACGTTTACCCCGTAAAAATTAATAGTTTGCAAAGATTACATTGCGCATTTTCTTACATGTTAAGTCTAATCAAAAGTATTGCTATTCTCATACTTGTAGAACCAGGTATATCCGTCAGACGAAATGATACCTACCGGTGGGGTACCCTCCCAGCACTGCAGTCCAAAGTTCCGTCGCTCCCTCATTGGTTCCTTCTTACTCAGTTCCTACTTCTCATTCTACTAGAATGGAGCAATAAATCATTAGTGCGATGATCTCAGAATCGCACCACGACTAAAGTGGAGAATTAGAAAATCACATTGAGATCACAGCTCCCCGATCTACCCTCTGCCTATGTGTCCTTATCTAGTTCTTTATGTTCTCAGGTGTATTACTTTATGAAAGAATTTAAGTGCTGGCAGTATGGCATAAATTCAAATAAAAATTAAAAAAAAAAAATCTTCGACTGCCAGGAGCTGCAGCTCACAATGAAGAAGTAGAAACTAGAAAATTAACAATAAAAGCCATTGAAGCCCTCAACCCAGCTCCAAGCCTCCAAGTGTGCGACTTTCGAGCTACCACAGTCTGCTGGCCTGTTATAGATGGGTTCCACATCCCATGAGCTGTAAAATGAATTGGGAGCTATGGAGTAGACGAGGAAGGTGCAAAAAGCCTAGGGATTCACCACGAATATTTAGAATCGATTTAGCTCATAAGAACCAGAACTTGAGAACGGGAGGGTAAATTGAGTCCATATGAAACTCGCTTACAGAAAGCGCCCAAAAGGATTGAGAATGTAATGTACAAACAACCAGAAATGGGATGGGCGTATAAGGATTTAGTAGACATTTTTAGGAGGGAGTCGGAGAAGTACCGATCCAAGCAAGGAGTAAAAAAAAGGACAAAAAAAGGAACGAGATGCTGGTGGGATAAGTAAGACAAAATAGCCATATCGCGATTCCAAGAGGCATGTAGAGAGCGCAGGTGGGCAAAGAAAAGGGTGACCATGCCCAATGAGGTAGCACCAAAATGAGGGAACCTCCAGGAGAGGAAAAAGGAGGCATTAGTTTTAAGTGCAGAGTTGCATTGAATGATGGAGATGAATAAAAGAAAAAAAAAAGGCAGAAATGCAGCTAAAAGGTGTTGGGATTTCAGACAAAAGTATAAGCAAAATATGGGGGGGGGGGGGTTTCCTGCAGTGTTCCCAAAATGTCTTTTTTTTTTTCCCCAAAGTTTATTTTTGCATAATTTGAGTGAGACCAGCAAAAACCAGCGTAACGTCACATCTTAATTCTCTGTGCAGAACAGAGGATGACGGTGAGTGTGACGCAGAACCTCCGGGCCTTTGCCCTGAGCCACCCGCCGCTCCTGGTGTTCACCAGCTGCCTGGTGGCATTTGGTGTCACCATGGTGGCCTTAGCCTACATCATTGGTGGCACGGACCTGCCCAATCCTGACATTGACCTGGTGAGTCTGCTGGCACGCTGCCTTTCACACCATGAAGTGTGCAACCCTGCAGTTGCACGAGACCTTTCTAGACTCTTAGTCATTGCATGTGGTGCATTTGCGACAAAGTAGAAATTTGGGCTAGTTGGTTCATGATCAGTAAATACAGCGCCAAAAAACGACAGGACAAAGACGAGAGTAAACAGGACGAGGCCTCGACGAGGCCTTGTCCTGTTTACTCTCGTCTTTGTCCTGTCGTTTTTTGGCGCTGTATTTACTGTGCATTTGCGAGCGCATTTGCAGCCATAGTAGCAGAATGCTGACGTGCCAAATGGAGAGAGCCGTCCATTCATTATGTCGTCAAAAGCTTTGGGTGCAGACTTGAAGTCCACGAGAGTTTACGGGGCACTCGCGTGTGCACAATTGGAAACCCTTATACTCAACTTTATTTAAATCGTTACTGTGCACCGTTCACCCCTAATCTGACAGTCTGATGAGAGTTGCCGGATCAATCCACCACCTCCCCTTCATCGCCTGACTCCACTCTCAGTACTTGAGTAAATTTGGGAGCATTATCATGTGGCAAAAGACAGGCGTGCGACTGGACCAAGAGAGCACATGACTTCCACCCTGCTGTCAGCTTGGGGGCGAGTGGGGTATGGTAGTATGAGCGAAGCTTTAGATGCATGCTTGTAGTCCTAGCTGATTCACTCTTTTGCGCAGCTAGGGTGCTTTCGAAAGCAAAGTGCTCGTGCACTGGGCGTGCCCCTGCTATCGCTGGTGAAACGAAGCTTAGGAAGCAATCACTCGCACGTATCGCTTCCCCAACTTTGCTGAAAAAAAGCTGATTTCTTCAGATCAGCTCTCCCCTTCAACGATTAATCAAAATTGTGAAGCAAATCTCTCATTCAAGTGAATCCACAAAATTCCTTTATTTGTTACTTTATTGAAGCCTTTACATAGCTACATTTTGACAGCATTTCTTTTTCTAGGTGTACTATATGTGCTTTATATTCACACAATATAAGAAAATTTGTTTGCAGATCTTTATCAAGTAATAAATAACCTGCATCTTGCATTTCAATCTCAAAGAAAAGTTGAGTTGAGAGGGAAGCCTGCCTTTTAGCAAAATACCCCAAAAAATGTTTAAAGTGTAGGCAAGTTGTTTCAAGTCTAACATTTCGTACCCCGAAGCGTTAATAAAGTAAGCAAGCTTTTTTTATTTGTTAAAAGCCAGAAGTTTTTTTTTTTTTTTTTTTTTGTTGCCCTATACTTGGACAACTCTTATGCACAATCAGTCAGTCTAGCGAATGTCGCTTTTCAAGGTGGTCGGTTTGTACTGCCAGTGGCGTCGAAACGAGAAGGGAGGGCAGGCAATTGAATTTGGCCCTCTAGAATATTTTGGCTATCCTGGAAAACTAATGCAGAGGAAAATACACCTCCGACCTCCTGTCATAACCCGGCGTCTCGCAAACACTTCCAACACCACCGTCTGCCGGACGTTCGTGCCGGGAAGCACAAGTAGGGAAAGGGAGAAACGGCCTGGGCAGCTTCTTTCTGTCCCGACCCCAGGACTGGAACGTGTTCCTCACCCGCCTGTCTGAGCTGCACTACTGCGTGGGACCCCGCAGCCCGGACGGAGGGGGAGGACCCGACGAGCGCCCCCTCAGTCTCGTCAACCGGGTGAGTGGACCATTCCTCTCGTCGTTATAACTACCGTAGAATACCGTGCTTCCGCACTAAGCGCCCAGCCCCAAACTTTGAAGCGTTAGAAAAAATATGCACGGTGCATATATATGAAAAATCCATGAACTCCATGCGCCCATCCCCTATTTTCTCGCGATTATCTTCAAATTTTGAGTGGGCGCTTGCTCGGTATTTTGTGGTAGGGCTTCGTAATCTCTCCATACACCAATAAATTCCCCAAATTAACATGCGAGATCTATCAGATTGACAATCGGAAAACCCCAAAATCGAAGCCATCCTTTTGCGAGAAGAACCCCGAGCTTCGTGACTAGGAATCTTTGTCCATGGCTTTATTTTGCGTTCACCCAGAGCACAGCCCTCTTCGAAGTGTTCACCACGACTCTTTTTCTTCAAAAACACCGTCCCGCGTCCCACTTTCTTCTCTTACCCATACCAGGGCATTTTCTAGATACTCTTTTGGTTGTGTCCGTGTTCCCTGGGCATTGGGGGAACCCCGTGACGCCAAAAAATACAGAATCCGTGGAAAAGGTAACCCTATTCACAAACCCCCCCCCCCCCGTGCCCAGGCTGCCAGCGTGGGTCCGCCGCCCCTGCCCCCCGCCCCCAACTCGACGGCAGACGTGCCCCGGGTGAAGGCGGTGGACCGGTCCAAGAGCCTGAGCGCCCTGCTGCCAGACCTGGGTGCCTCGGAGCTGGCCGAGGAGGGCCCCAACGTCACCGTGGCCGTGGCCGTGTCCGCCACCTTCTTCCGGGAGGCCCTTGGGGCGCCCGTGCTCTGGCACGGCCGTGCAAAGGGCTACATGCTCGGACTCTCAGGTGGGGGAACGGCGCCTAGTCGGTGTCGCCATTGTCCGAGTCCAGTCTCGTTGGATTAGAAGGGGAGGCTCTGCGTTCACACCTCGAGAGTTGGGTGTGCCGTACAGCAGGGCGTGAATTTGGGCTAGTTGGTTTGCTGTAGCTTGAGTGACGAAAGCAACGCAAAAAAATAGGGGACTAGAAGAAGGAACACACAAACACAGCACTGTGTTTGTTTGCTCCTTCTGCTGTTCGGTTTTTCTAGTTTTGCCACACAAGATGTGGCACAAAGGAAAGTGTCTTCTTTAATGTAGGAACCTTCGAACCGGGAGTGTGAAGACGGGAGTGGAGCCCGGCAAATCGTAAGCGCCGACATTGCTGCTCTCGAGAGAAAGAACAAGAATGAGAGCGATGGGATAAGAGAGCAGACGATAGGTTAGGCGCATTCGTTTCGCCGTGACGAGTTGAAGTCATTCGAGAGGTCGTCGACTTTATTTATACAGACGTTCAAGTGATGTTTGCCTACAATCCCATTGGGACCACCGATTTCTGCGTCTATGCTTTGCAGTGCGGCCAAAATGCATGGGACCTTTTTCTTTAGATTATTACCGTATTTATTCGAATATAAGGCGAGCTTTTTTTCCAAAATCCGTAGTCTCAAAGTCATACCCCGCCTTATATTCGAAGCTCAGTATAGCAATATGACGATTTTTTTTCTTTTTCATGGGTCCTTCAACTGCCCTCTCGCCTTATAATTGTGACCGCCTTATATTCGAATAAATACGGTATTTCAACCCTATGGTTACTCTATGGTTCGAATGCACCACCGAAATAGTTTGGTTGAGAAGCTCTCGAATGGGATTTCATAGGCACTTTGGAATACACAAGCTACGTTCTGCCTTGCTAACACCCAAATGCGTTTTTCCTCAATGTCAAGTGTGCTGCTGCAAAGTGCGATCTTTTGGTGCAGGAGCGCTCTGTTGCTGTATGGTGGTACAATACTTTCTCGTGTTACTAGCCTTATCAGTTTCGAGAAGAAAACAAAAATCTTTAGGAAGACAGCGGCTGCGTGGACATCTCATTTGATGTGTCTGGTATGAGCGAGGAAACTGAAGTGTGTGCATCTCCCATACTGCTGCTTTTCCCTAGCGCTTCTGTGCGCTGCTGGAGAAGCACTCTTCCCAGCAGAGCACCCAAACGCATGTGTCTGTTTCATAAGGAAGAGGCTTTCTCTGTGCAAAGTTTTTATCTCTTATGTTTTAAACTGCTGTCATTACAAAGTCATAGGTTATATAGACCATTCCACTTAGCGCTCCCTGGGCGGCACCATTTTGTTCGACCGCAGCGCCCTCTCCACACATCCAGGAAGTTCGGCGGGGTGAAACGAGAGAGGGCACGCACCCGACTCCGCTAGCAGACGACAAACCGGGAGGTTGCCGTTCTCCATCTTTGGGCTGTATGGGCGGGCTGTACGGAACATCGAACTCTCGCTTGTGGCTGCCGTTGTGAAGTGGTTCGCGTTCTTCGAATAGTTGTGGCTACTCCAAAGTCAGCCTTTAGCTCTCTGTTGTTCTATTTTGCTAAATGATCAACTAGCGTATTTTTTTTCCGTTACTTAAATAGCAGTTGAATCAGCCGGCAGTACTAGCCTCAACTACTGCATGTATTGCAGCAGGAGAGCACATTTTATTTATTATTTCAGACTCCCACTCATGGTCGCTAAAGGGCTACACCAGTACAAACTTTGTATAGTAAAAAAGGTACAGCAACCGGATTTACTTTTCGCCAAAGAGACCAACCAATCTGACAGTTTTCCCTTATTTTTTTTTTTTTTTTGCACTCAGGTAACTGCGCAATTGGACCCTGTGAGTCGTTTTATTTAGCATAATATTACACGACAACTGGCATACCAAAATCTGCGCATCTGCGCTTGAAAGTTCCAAAATGACGCGATTTTAAACAGAGTTTGCACGCCAGCCGGACGCTAGCTACAGCCCACTCGGCGGAGCGGACGACATGTGGGGTGAGATGGGGAGTGCATTTTTTTTCTCTTTTACCCTCTCTGCTATGACCCTAATGGAACGGTCTATAGGCTGTATGTAGGTAGGGTTTTGTGTTTTTGGATAAACCTTATTAACTCCGAAAAATACTCGCCGCTAATATGTTCGACCATTCAGATTTATCCGAAAAACTGAATTTCGAAGGAAAACAATGGCAAAACAAGAAGCCAAAAAAGACAATATTTTATGAATACATTTTGTCAGAGCACAGAGCTAGTGGTCCTAAAAAAATTCTTTTTTATTTTTAAATCTTATTTTTACTATTGACAAAAAAGAGTTTCCCATTTATCTCGTCGTGGTTTGTTCGGTACAATGGGCCAATGTACCTCTGGATCATCACAAAAGCTACTGTTCCTGTTTCCAGTTGGGACCATACTATTTATGCTTCTTATAGGGAGGAGGGGTCGGGCTTTTATAACAGTGAAAGTTGTGTACCTCTAGATTTCATAGGATGTGGGAGGAAGCTGAAGGTTTTTGCATCCAGGAGTTTTTAAATTTGAAAGTATTGACGTTAATTGAGGTAATGCTCGTTTTTATGATTTGTCGTGGGGCAGATAATTCTGCCAAACGCAAGGGTGCCAGTGCCAAATGCAACTGCAAAAATGTCTTTCGATACCGGCAATTTGTTTTTATGAATCTAGTGTGCGTATTTGTCCAGACATTATTTATCTTTATTTCATTTTTTTTAAATAATAACGTAGAATGAAACCCAGAACTTCGGAGAATTGGGAATCTAACAAAGATGAACTCCAATATACCTCGGATTTCCAGCATAAAATAAACTACAAAAAACACCCTTCAACTTTCACAAAAAATGAACTTTGAAACAGGAAAACATAGAATCCTAGCTCTAGGGTAGCACAGCTGTCATCTTTTCATTTGTTGTCAGCTGTTTGAACTCACTTCTTTCGCCATGGAATCCAAAATCCTAACTCATCTTTTTGCAAGATCTTTTTTTTTTTTCTTTTAGAAAACGATTGAAGTGTCAGTCTTTATGTCACAGAATGGTTCCTATCTCTGCCTAAAAAATTAGCCATCTCACATTTTAACTTTCTTAATTTCTAACATCGATGTCAAGTATTAAAATATAAAATCATAGGAACGACAAGGAGGAAGCAATGATGCATATGAAGTTTCTTTTTTTTTTTTCTTATTTGTTTTGTGGGTTCAGATTGTAGGAGGCAGAGATAAAGGCAAGTTTGTAGGTAAGATCCTCAAATCTTTTAGACCGCTGGTAGCTGCGAGTCTTTTACATGGTTTTATTGTAAAAGGTGCCCATTATATAGTATGTTGCTTTTTGTGAGGTTACTGTTGGAGTCGCCCGACAGTAGACACAAGTGGTAGGTGTTCCCCGCAGCATGAACCCCTAAGAATCACTTCTGTAAACAATTTATAGCTCATGAAATTAACCGTAAAAAATTGGATTAATGGCCTTCATGGCACATTATTTTGCTGCACATAAGGCTCAATGGACGCGAGCTCTAACCGAAGTGCACCTGCGTGACAACAGGCTGCCTCTGCTGTTGCTTTCTCAACAACTGCAGCATATCCACATGCTTGGTGAACTATAGCCTTCCTCTTCTTCATCGTCTTCTTCCTCCCTGGTCTTTCTCCCATCACCAGCTCGCTTGCGCCCTAACATGCTGTTCATTATGCAGGTACTATTGACCCAGGTATAATACAACAATTGTCAAATTGATGTATAAAGGTTTCAAATGAAATTACACTTATAATAGCAGACTCATGATTTATTTTTGGGTTGGAAATCAGGCTGTCTCTGAACCTCACTAATGGCAGTAATATTCCTGGGTACGAAACAGCATGCTGAGCCAGCCACACATGCCGCAAAAGCAGAGCCGCTGTAATCAAGTGGTTGTTGGCCCGGTTTCCATTGGCGATAACAGGTATCTAGTTCCGGCGGCAGCGTGGCCCTCATGTTTTCTTCCGGCTTGGCTAGAAGCAGGCAGATTGGCAAAAACAAGTGCAAACGCATACAAAATCACGCCATGCTGATGTCGACATGCCCATTTCAGTCTGGGAGAGCTTCGTACCGGGGTGCTGTTGTGTATCGCTACTGCATGATGCACGTGAATCTCCCCAGGTTAGTGGTCATGCGGCACTGGCTAAATTTCTCATCCGCAGCATAAACCGGTGCCGTAAGACCTCAAAGGCAGGCCGACCTTACGCAATCTAAGCGGGAACACAAAATTTCCTTGTGAGCTTTTTGGGGCAAAGGGCACAATGTTTATCGCCGTGTCAAACACATACTGGCTCATTCATTTTTGGGAAACCTTTTCCACAACACACGCCGCTGCATTATGGAGAAGTGGTGCATATTCTGTTCTGGCCAGTTTCAGTTCTGTCGAAGCTTTCAGTCGAGCCTGCTTCTCTCGGCACTCCGGGTGTCTGCCTACCCGAGGGAGTGACTGCCAACTTGTTTCTGTGACCATGGACATGCCACATGCAGCAAGGGTCGTCCCCCAGTGGATGGATGGGTGCTAATGGCTGTACCCTTTATAACGGGCGACAGCTTGCGCCACCTACCCTAGAAAACAAAAGTATTTTTCCTCCCCTCATGCATCTAAGCCAATTTGCTTCTCCTCTGTATTTTTGTAACTATCACCAGCGCTTTGACAAAGCACCCCTTCCCTCCCTAGGCAAGCGTGCCAAGGAGCAGCTGCTGATGACGCTACTTCTGTGGCCCCGGTCATCCAACGGGTCTTCGTCGGAGCAATTCTGTACGGGCAAGCACTGCCGTGTGGTGGCAGACACCTGCCTCATCCTGCAGGGGCCTTCCAACCTGCTGCCCAAGACCAAGTGAGGACCCTCCCTTGTCCGACAGAGGTAGCGTTGAATCGGCAAGGAAAGATGGACTGGCCTGCAAGGATTGCAAGTGCTTTTCTTGCGTTAATGTGCCAAACTTTGTTTTGCGAGCACATTAAGATGTTTCGCTGCGAGCGAGCGAGAAATGGCGCAAAAGTGCTTGGGTGTTTGCAGCGTGCATCTGCGCTGCAGTTTCTTTGGTATTAGCTGGCATAAGTCTGACGTCTACACCCTTAAATTAGGTAGTTGGGAGGTTTGCTGAAATGTGTGTGAAGGAACAATCGGGAAGCTTGGGAAATAAGTTTTGTTAGACACCCCGGGCGTCGTTTCCACCCTTTCTTACATTGGCAGTGGCAGGAGGGGGAAGGGGCACCATTGTAAAAAAATATCCGAAACCATTCCTGTTCACTGTTTGTTAGGAGACTGCTTCTGCAGCACCGAGGAGGCTTGTACGGCAGAAATACGTTGCGTGAAAAATTGGTGGCTCGTAGTGTGCAAACACTGCAAAACATTTATGAAATGTATTCGCACGAGCTGGCTAGAGATAGTGTACTCGTAGTAGGAGCGAATTTGTTTGCATAGGTGCGAATGGGACATTTTGGTCATAGACGTCAGTTCTGCCTTTTGCAGGCGTCCCCCCAGGTGCTTCCTGGAGGCGGTGCCCCCCACGACGAGTCGCCAAGTGTTCCTGCAGCGCTCGGCGGCCGACACGGGGGGCCGAGTGAACTGCAGCGGCGGCATCTGGACCACCTTCCTCTACAAGCCGGACCCAGACCTCACCGTCATGCTCTCCTACGTGAGTGGGCTCCGTCTTCTCTCGGCCGCGGAGAGTTTACGTAGGGAGTATCCACCGGCAGCCATAGCCAGGCACGTAGCTGATCGGCGCATTCAGACGGCGAGCTTCCATCAAGATTGCCTTTCTTGGCAACTTGTATAAGTGCAAGCTTGTTCTGAGCATGCCTAGTGAACGGTGCACTCAACTATGGCGTGACGCCCCCTATAATAAATCTAAAGGAGAAGGTTCGCCTTGTTTCCATGTATTCCGGTCACTTTGGAACGGCGGGACACAGACATGCACAGCGGTGGTCCCAACAAGGTTAAGGCAATGCTACCCACAACATGCACATATTTAATTACTTTCCGTGGAGCATGGATCAGTTTTTTCACCTTTTTAAAGTTTCGGTGCACCTCGCCTTGCCGTAAACATTTCCAAAGAATGAACGACCGATTGTGCCCTGTACCTGCCGGATGAAGGCGACGAGACAATGAATAATGAACTGAAAAGACAGGTTTAATTTGCAAACTTGTGCCAGAAACAAAAGGAAGAACAAACGTTGAGAAAGCAGCAGCGAGCGACGGTGCTTCGGCATAACAGCTGACTAGCGCGAGAGGGAGTTGGCAAGATCGTGCTTGGCTCCTTATACAATACACTCGGTCTCTGGAGTATTCGACCTAGAAAGTTTGGGCGTGAGGTAGGGCGAGACTGACAGGCAAGGTCACTCTGGCCTCCTTATCTTTTACACTCGGGGTAAGAATAAACTTGAATCATCTAGACGTACAGAGAAGCGTTCCTTGTCGGTCATGCATGCGGCGGCATGCCACTGGTCCCTTCATACTATCGCTCTTTCAACTTTTGTCTGCAAGCATCACATTATCCACGCTAGATGCAGAAGCTAGACTCTGCGGCCCTTGCTCTCAGTGGCATAATGTATTGGATGAGATTTCAAACTGGGCTCCTAGGAACTTAGGTGTTCATCGGAGTACCTTCGTAGGTTTCCCGAGCTCCCCAATTTTGTTGGTCGTCCCTGCCCATAAGTAATTTTTTCGAATTTATTCGAGCACTACTTTAGCCGATCTGACCCGCCGACTTACACGTAACTATATGAGCCAATCGCTGCCTGGTAGATGCATTATTACCTACAGGGTCTGGAGACTTCGTAACTGCTTTACTGCATTAATCTTTGCAACCGAGAAGGTTTCCTTGGCTTCCATTCAAGGTGAATAGGGGTTCTTTAAGGTCGAAAAGTTTGGGAGCCCACGACGTACCGTCACGATCAGGGCCCAGCAGAGAGCCCTGGTGTGGGAGCAGTCTCTGTTGACTTGCGGTTTTTCAGCAATGCACTCGACCGTCACTACCTCTTCGCAGGGAGACCGGTCCCTAGTCAACCTGCACCTTATCCACACGAGCTACTTCCTCTTCTTCATGGTAATGACCCTGGCCTGCTACGCCGTGGTCAGGGGACGTTTCCTCAAGGTCAAGATGGACAAGGTTGGTTTTTCCCTCGAAGGGACTCCCATCACAAACTCTCCGCTTCTTTGGGGACCTTTTGGGTGGAGGCGAAAGTACCAATTAACGCCAACGAATCGCCGCCGAGTGTAATTTTGGGGGCTTCGTGTTCAAAAGTGCACACCCAGGAAGGTCTTTCTTAGGATTACCTCCCTCGCCTGTTGAGCGGAGAAAATTCTCCTTTTCAATGAGTGCCAGCATTTCTATGGAAGAAGATTTTTAATGCGATACCATTTAGAAGCTCGTATCGCAGAAAAGCCGGCATTAGCATTGGTAGGACAGGAAAATCCTGATTGGTCGATAGGGTCATAACGTCATAGCCACATGACCTCACGCGGGAATTTCGAACAACCCCCAACGCTTGTGTGAATTGTGATACCACGCATGGAATGAAAGTGAATAAAGCTTGACATGTACCTAATGCGAATTAAAGGTCCCCACATGTCTCAAATGATTTCACTTTACAGTAAACTCTCACTTGAGCGAACTTCAAGGGACCCAAGGAAATAGTTCACTTCACTGAAAATTCACTAAAGTGAATACATTCACTAGAATATGGAACAGCATAGGGCACAGCATACATCAAGTCAAAAGTGTGAAATGCAATTCATGGGAGTCATGTACATCTATATATAAAACGTGCATAACAGTTACCCTGCTGCCTTTCTCATTTTGAACAGAAAAAATCTGTAATTTTCATTTGCACCGGCGCTCTTAAAGTGCATGAAGTAACACAGCTCTCCAGAGAGTATTTCTTTGCACTTCCTCTGGCACAGCTTGTTGCTGTGACAAAGCCATACTGCAACGGCATCGTCCACTGGCTCGAAATATCCCATGCAGAGTCGTTTCCTGTTGGAATTGAACGCAGTTTCTCCTTCAGGCTTCGACTTTTGCTTCACGATCGTTGACAATGTCAACGGTAGAATCCCAGAGACCTTCGCAGCGTCCACTTGCCTTTGACCGTTGTCCAGGCGCTGAAAGATTTTGAGCTTGTCTGATAGATACAACCGCTTCCGTTTCGTCGTACTCATTACGAAAGTGGGCGCACAAAGTGCTGTCCTGACAAAGTTACCCAAAACTAAGATGGCCAAACGGACCCAATAACAAAGAGAAAAATGACCGCATCCCCATGTGGTGAATGATGTTGATTGGGGCGAAGCTCTGGTGGTGCTGATGATACTGATTTTGTTCATAGGTAGTGCTGTAGACGTTGAGCGGCTACACGCAACGTTTCATCCATGAAATCTCCAGCTCTTGAGTTACTACCACATCTCAGAGCCCCCTACTCCTCCCGCAGTCGTGGCCAAATGGTTAAGGCGATGGACTAGAAATCCATTGGGGTCTCCCCCCACAGGTTCGAATCCTGTTGACTGCGCAAACATTTTTTCTTCTTTTAAGAAGACAGATGGGATGGCAATCAATGTGAGCACGGACGCCGGACGGACAAGGTTAGACCCTAAGGAGCTTCGCCCCTAAAAGACACACCACGTGGTTAGTTTTCGTCTACCGCACCGCCGCTTTGCCTCAACGGCACTGTAAACGTCAGCGATGATACTCCGCCGCTGCCTCTGCAGTGATAGCGGCGGGGTGGTGGACGTCGGCTACGCCAGCACTGCAGAGCACAAAACTTCGTTGAACTGATTTCAAAAATAATCCTGGGTCCACCGATCAAGTCGTTGAACTGAAATATTCGCTATTCCGAATTTCGTTTGATTGAAACATTTTTTTGCTTAGAGTGTATAGGAAAACCGCCGGGGATTTTTTGAAAGTTTGTTATTCTGAAATATTTGTTAAGCTGACGTTTGCTCAAGTGAAAGTTTACTGTAGAAAGTAATTCATTTGCCTTAAAAGAACAAAATTCCAATAATTTTAGGCAGAGGCAGTGTTCAAACCCATGACCCTTCGGTTGCAAGCCAGACACGCTACCGACTAGGGTGCACAGACACGCTTGCACGGCTTGGGAACTAGTGGGGGATTATATGTTTAGCTATCGCGTTCCACTCTTAAAGGCGAAGCTTAAGTATCCTCCTGTAATTTCTTTATTCTTATTATTTAACGCTTTTGACCTTGTTAGGTCAAGTTTGTTGCATTACTGGCATGCCTACTACAATGGTTAAATTGCTTCCTCATAATAGGCTGTAGACCGTTCCACTACAGGACTTGTCGCCGGTGCCATCCTCGGCATTCGTGGCTGTTTCCTTGTATCCTTGCTGGGCTGTTGATTTGTAAATATTGGAATAGTGTATATTCGAAGTAGAGTATACCAAGAATTAGTAGCACTACCATATCGTAGCCTCCTAAAGATATGACCTCTCCCATTCGTTGCTGGTTTTTGTTGGGTTGTTGGAAGACTGCATCAAGAATTGCCAAACAAAAGCTGGAAACATAAACTGGCTGGTGCTGTCAAAACCGAAAGTGGTGTGTGTGTGAACCAACCTAAGAACAAATGCTGCTTTACAATTTAAATAAAAAAGCTCACAAAAAATGAGGACAAAGAAAGACACACTACAAGCAAGTGCATGCTTTGTCCTAATTGCACTTTTATAAAAGGAGATGCAAGTCAAAAAACGGCAGTATTTTGAAAAAAAAAGATGTGATTTTGGGTTTTATGTTGTTTTATTATTTTTGAATTGTTGTATTATATGTATAAAAATAATTAGTGCCGCTTATGATAGCGAAATTAGTCAGATACACATTTAAAGACCTCCAGGCAACTAAGAACAGCATGAATTTGAGCCATTTTGCTCTGCATGGCTCTTCAAGTGGTGATGTGACCAGCCATCACATTTATGTTGACAAGTAGGCCTAGCCATCTCCATCACATTTACATTGACGAGTAGGCCTAGCCATCTCCTCTCCATTGCAGTCTTTTGTAGCTTCAATTTCTCACTGAAATTTATTAACGAAATATTATTTTCCGCACTGCGAAAGAGTATAGCTACACATCTATGTGGTAACATTGGAACGTGTTTTTCTATTTATGTAATTTTGGGCCATCTTCACAGTTTGTGCGCAAGAATTTCTGTTCTTAATAATGTACTATCACAACCGAATTTGGCACTTTAGGATTTGTAGAATGCAACTGTCTAGGTTTGATTAGAACATATTTTTTTTTTATATTTATGGAAAATTCAAGGAAGGTTTGTTAGCCCCTTGAAATGCACATATTTGTTATTTCTAATTATTTTAAAATGAAAGAAGGTTGCACACATTACTTCTGTTGTTCATTGCACTCAGTGGTTAAAAAGGAGTGATTTAGTTTATTTTACTCGGCTTTTTTAAGTGTGTTGTCATGCCTCGCATGCGCACAAGAACACGGTTTTTTCTGCATGTACTTTCCATCGGGATCCTAAAAAACAAGCTATATCAAATCAGATTTATAAAGAAAAGGTTAAGCATCATAAACTGTAAAAAATTCATTTCAATATTGCGAATAATATTTTAAAGGGACACTACAACGAAATTTCAGCACTTATTTCTTGGCCTGTTTGTCTTCAAGGGAGCAGTACGTATCCCATCAGACGCACCAATCTCTTGTTGGAAAAGACACAAAAAGGAATTTTGAAACAAATTAAACGATTAGCAAAGAGCACCTGGTGGATGTCACTAACGCCTCGCTTGTAATGCCGGTCTAGGAACCTTGACAGGTAGCGACGATAATTGTCTCGCCTCCGGCCGCCACGAGAGAAGAGGGGAAGGAGAAGACTCTCTCCGAGACTCTTTTTTGTGTGTAGCAGACATCACTATTGTCCCTCTGCAAGATTATAGAGGATTAACCAATGACTCAAAATTCGTACAAAAGCAGCTTTGCGGTTAGTTGTGGCGGCCCGGTGGCACGATCGCTGGCGTGCTTCGGCCGCTTCAGTGGCGGGAACGGCTAGGACATCCTCTCGACGTCAGCCCCACCACAGCTCTGCTCGTCCCTAGACAATCTACATCACAATTGTGGCGGATGTCACATGCTCTCCGCTGGCTGCTCTCCATGCTCTCCGAGCGCTTGCCAGAATGGGCCGTTTATAACGAAAAATAAAGCCATCAGGCTGAAAATGCAAACGTGCATTTTGTTGAAGTATCCCTTTAAATACCCCTTTCATGTCATATTTTTTCTGTACTAGATATTTTGTACAGGTTGATTTACTTGGATTTTTTTTTTTTACACCTCAGAGGTAATGCATAGCAAAGTATACCGGTACATAAGTGCGGTAGTGCTGAAACACATATTATACATTTTAAACATGTGCTCTAGCAATGATGCAGCAAACCTGTCACTTGGGAAAGAACACTTGTGTTCATTTTCGACCAATCCCACTTCGCAAATTGTTTCCCCGAGTGTCCAAAGAATAGCACTGTTGGAAGCTGTTTTACTTAAGTTGATGTCATTTGAATTTGAATTGAATTTTGAATTTGAATTTATTTATCTCTCAACATTACATTGTGAGATGGGACGCAAGGGAAAAAGCTGCGTGGTGCAGCTTGAGGGCCCCCTGCGCCCCTACACACGACAGCAGTGGGCAGGAACAGAAGAACATTTCCAATAAAAGTACACTGACACATTCAACATAATGGGGCACTATGCATATTTCAGTGAAAGGAACAGTTACACAATTCTTACACAAAATGTAGATCTAACAGATGAAGGACATCGATCAATTTTTTCTTGGGGGTTGTTTCTATAGAAATATTATTATGCAAAAGAATGTTGAGATAAAGCGGTAAGTTATAACATAATGATTGGGCGCGATAAGATGTGCGGCAAAATGGCAATGACCAAGCAATGTTGTGACGTATGTTATATGCGGGTGTGTGGCGATTGAGTTTAAACATACTTAACAGGACATCATTGTTAGTCGCAACAGCACTCTTATACATACACAACAATTTGAAAGCATAAAGAGAGGTTGACTTAATAATACTGAACTTGAAAAAATATTGTTCGGTATGCGTGCACCATGAGACATTCGCAATCAGCCTTACTGCCCTTT